ACACCCACCCTGGGATATTGTTCCTTCTATCGAGAGGGGGAGAAGATGCTATGACTCCCAATAACGCAGGGGCTGTGGCTGTAAACCCCTCCTGTGACACTGTTCTTAATATCCTAGGGAAGAGAGGATGATACTACACCCAATAGGGGGTGTACACCCACCCAGTGATATTGTTCTTAATGTACTCCACCTCCCACCACGAGGGATATCGTTCCTAATATCCAGGGGAAGAGAGGATAACATTATGCTCAATACCGCAGGGGAGTGTACACACCCTCTGTGATGTTGTTCCTAGTATGCAAAGGTAGAGATGATTGTATTACTGGCCATATCGCAGGGGGTGTACACCTTTCTGTGATATTATTTTTGACATTCAGTGGGGGAGAGGATAACATTAATCCCAATATCGCAGAAGTTGTACAGACCCCTGTGATATAGTTCCTACTGTACAGGGGCAAGGGAAGAATATTACTCTCAATATTGCAGGGGATGTAACCACCCTGCCTCACGTATATTGTTCCTAATATGCAGCGGGGTGAAGGCTGATAGTACTCCCAATATCCCAGAAGGTGCACACACACCTGTGATACAGTTCCTAATATCCAGGGGGAAAGAGGCTGATTTTACTTGCGATATCACAGTGGGTGTACACGGCCCCCAACCCCGGGGTACCATTCCTAATATCCAGGTGAGAAGATGACATTGCTGACAATATCGAAGGGGGTGGACACTTCTTCTGTGATATGGTTCCTGATATCCAGGGGGTGAGTGGATGATACTACTCCCAATAAAGTAGGAACCGTATAGCCACCCTGGGATTTTGTCCTTAATAACCACAGGGGAGAGGTGATATTACTACCAATATTGCAAGGGGTGTACACCCCTTCTGTGATATTGTTTCTGATATCCAGGAAAGGATAAGATGGTATTACTACCAATATTGAAGAGATATACAGTCCCCATGGGATATTGTTCTAAAGATACAGGTTGAAAGAGGATGAGATTCCATCCAATATAACAAGGGGTGTACACCCCGCCTGTGATATGAATCGTAAAACCTAGAGGAAGAGAGAATGACATTGCTTCCAAAAATACACGGGGTGTACACCCACCCTGTGATACTGTTCCTGTCATCTAAAGGAAGACATGATGATACTACTGCCACTACCGGAGAAGGTACACACCTTCCTGTGATATTGTTCCTCATAACTTGTGGGGGAGAGCATGATATTACTTCCAATATGACAGTGGCTTGACACCCAGTCTGTGATATTGCTCCTAATTTCCAGTAGGTAAAGTATGATGTTCCTGCCAAGAGAGTAGTGGGTGTACAGCCACCCTGTGATATGTCTCCAAATATTCAGGGAAACACAGGACGACATTACCCCAAATCTCCCAAAAAGTGTACACCCATTGTGTGATATGGTTCCTGATATCCGGAGGTGCAGAGGATGGTGTTCGTTCTCCTATTGCAGGCTGTGTACACACAACCTTGAAATTGTTCCTAATATCCTGAACAAAAGAGACTGCTAATAATGGATACACATTGCAGGGGGCAGTAATTATTACGATCCACATCGTAATGGGGAGTAATAGCAACCCCCTCTCTCCCCCTTGCTGTTAGGATCCACATCGCAGGGGGGTGAGGCACCCCCCGCGATATGGGGAGTAATAGGATCCTCCTCTCTCCCCCTGGTCTTATATAAGGAGGCTGGCCTTATATAAGTGTCCCCCAATGCCATCGCAGGCTTTAATGTATTCACTTAAAGTTTTTCCCTCATTTAGATCTGCCTTTCCCTTAACAGATCTAATTGCTGCCCGACATTCTGTATTAGCATTTTCATGAGCAAGCAGCTGAACGATCACTTTCTTGGCATGAGAATCGGAAATAGTCTTTTGAGCCGCATCCTGCAAAGGGGCGATAGAATCAGGATAAGGCTCCCTTGGACTCTGTTAAACTGTGTGAAAAGAATAAGCAGTAGCAGGGTCGTGAATTTTTTCCCAGGCTCTTCGGCATATAGTTCTGAGCTGATCAACAGCCTCATCACCCATTACCATCTGTTAATTTAGAGTACCCCATGCCTGTCCGATTCCAAGCAGTTGATCAGATGTGATATTAACGGGACGTTGGGCTTGAGCACTTCTGCGTGCCTGATTTGTTGCTTCATCCCTCCACCAGGTTTTAAATTGGAGAAATTCAGAGGAGCACAGGGTGGATCGGGCTAGTGCCTCCCAATCCGTAGGTATTCAACGTCTGTTATAAGCCACACATTGTAACAAGGAATGAACATAAGGAGAATTTGGCCCATATTGTCCAATTGCTTGCTTTAAGTCTTTTAATATTTTAAAAGGAAATGGCTCCCAGCATGCTTGAGCAAGTTCTCTGGGCTCCTCAGCTGGAGAAATAATTACCAGAAACTGCCAAGCATTCAAATCCCCCATTTCTTGTGCCTGGCGAATGGATGCCTGGATTGTCCCTGTGCCATCATTTGTATTTGGACCGGCTCGCAGCATTCCTCTACCATAATTAACAGGTGGGCAAGCCTGGATCATTCCCTCCTCCTAATTGGCTGTTGGAGAAGCCTGAAGTTCCCCTCGCCACAGTTACCGACCGGGCCTGCAACAATGGGAGCCGCAAGGCGCGTCTCAGGCTCCCCTTCCAAAAATTCCCAAGGCTGACCTGGGGGTGGCCATTCCAGATCTTCCCCTAAAGGCGCGGTAGGTGGCACTGTTTCTTTTACAAGTTTTTGGAGATTAGCATACATACCTTCCCGTTTCTCGCCCTTTTTAAAACTAGACTGTCATGGTTCAATTTGCTGATACTTAGACTCCTGATTATTCAACTTTCCTATGTCATCCTGAAACTCCTCCTTCTCCTCCTCAGTGTGGAAGGGCTCCAGTGCCGTTTTAATTGCAGACCACACAGACCAAGCAGAGACGGGAATACCGCGGCCCTCTTGTTGTGCTGGTTTTAAGTCTGATCCGACCTTGTCTCAATCTTTTACGTTCATGGTTCCATATTCCGGGAACCAAGGAGAATACTTGTCTACCAGATGGAACAAAGATGTGAGATTTGGGGTACTCACAATTACCCCTTCGCGGCGCAGTAACTGCTGCACAAGGCTTAAGTAATTAGCGAACTTACTCTCAGCCTGACCCATGTTTTCCCCAGGTTTCCCTGGAATTCTCCGAGCGCCCTACTTACCCTAGAGCTTGAAGTGAAAACCTACTCGGGAGTCCTTTGTCGGTCGTCCTCCGTTTTCCACGCTCTAGTGTTCCTTCACTGGATTATTTGTAGAGATTACGGGGAGCCCCGCGTTGGGCACCAGAGAGCAGCCTGGGCAACCGAGGGAGACCCCTGTTTCTACCAAAAAAAAAAAAAAAAAAAAAAAGCCAGGTGTGGTGTCATGTGCCTGTAATTCCAGCCTGTAATCCCATGAGAAATCAGACAAAACCTGGCACCAGAGACTGATTTTCTTCTAAAATGCTTTCTCCAAAATATTTTTAAAACAAAAGGGGGAAATTGGAAAGGAAAATATTTTGGGCCCCCCAAATCACTAAGATAACGGGAAAGTCAATCTGGGAACCGTTTAGGGCAAACCTGCCTCCCATTCTATTCAAAGTCATCTGAGAAGAATGCATATCTTATTGCCTCCTTTGGAAACTGATAAGAATGCATATCTTATTGCCTCCTTTGGAAAGGCTCATCAGAAACTCAGAAGAATGCAACCGTTCGTCTCTCACCTACCTGTGACCTGGAAGCCCCCTCCTGGCTTCGAGTTGACCCACTTTTGCTTCAGGTTGTACCGGATCAAACCAATGTTCCTCTTACATATGTTTATTGATGTCTTCTGTCTCCCTAAAATGTATAAAACTGTCAGTTACAGTCAGTTTCGCTTCCAAGGTTTAGCATATTAACGTTCTTGTTTTTTGTTCTGGAACTCAACTTTCTTGTTCTCCATTCCTGCTTGCCCTTGGTTACCGTAAACAACCTTCCAGTCAGTTCTAATCAATAACTCACATCTGTTCCCTTGGTTACCTGCTCTGCACCCATTTCTCCCTTCGAAACCACACGTCCCACCGTTGTAACTCACATCCCCCTTTCCCATTCCTTATTTGGGAAAATATTCACAAATAGCCAAACGGGTCAGTTTAGATCTTGAGGTCTGGCCCCAGCCCATGCCAGAGGTAGGGATTGCGTTAGGAATAAAAACCCCTGCTTTCCTTTGTTCAGTGTGCTCTTGCGATTGTGATTGATGCGAGCAGCACGCTTCTGCGGAAGTAAATTGAGTTGCTGAGAAAACTTTCGCTTGAGTGCTGGTTTCACTTTGCGGCACCGAGCATTTATCTCCAGCAAAACCAAGCTGTGCTCTGACCACCTTGGGCAACTGTCATCAGGACATCCTAAGGCTGTGTCATGCACAAGCATCCCCAACCTTGGCAAAATAAACTTGCTAAATACTCATATCCCCAAATGCTCAGGGAGATTGATTTGAATAATCATAAAACTCCGAGGCTGCACTCCAGCCTGGGAGACAGAGCAAGACTCTGTTTCAGAAAAATAAAATAAAATAAAATAAAATAAAATAAAATAAAAAATAAAATAAAAAACTCTGGTCTCCCGCACAGCCGACTCTGCGTGAATTACTCTTTCTCTATTGCTATTCCCCCGTCTTGAGAAATCGGCTCTGTCTAGGTAGCGGGCAAGGTGAACCCACTGGGCAGTTACAGATTTGCCATTATATTGCTTGCAATTTTATATATATATTATGCACAAACAGCTATAACCTTGTATACAAGGTTAAATGCGAATGTCCTCCTTGCATGGTCAGATCCTAGCGCAGGAAGGACGCACCCCCTACAAACTGCTAGGCCAAAACGGTCATTCTGGCCTCATCCAGCCTCACGTGAGATCGCAATCTCCTGTCACTCAGGGCCTGAGGGGGCGGGGCCTGAAGCCCCGTACAATCAGGCGCGCTGGGGTGGGGACCCTTCAATCAGGCGCGCCGCCGGAAAGGAGAGGGCGGCTTCCGGGCTCTGACTGGCGGGCGCTTTGTCTCGTCTTCGCCACAGTAGGCTCTTCCTGTTAGTCTCCGCTGCTACTTCTTGACTCTGGGAGGCCCAGGTGGCTCTGCAGCAGACTCTGCCACCCCTGCGGGTATTGGGACATCCCTAGCTGACGCCAGGACACCCGGGAAGCAGAGGAAGGGTGAGTGGACTGCACCTGGCTTCCCAAAGTGGGGAAGAAGGCTAGTTGAAACTTCCTGGAACCAGCCATCGGCTGCGGAACCTGCGGACCGAGTCGCCGGGCGCAGCCGGGCCTCAGTCCCCTTCTGTGCAGAGCCGGGCGGGGCGGGCAGCGGGACCCCTGCGTCGTGTCTGTACCTGTGGGCGCCACTTCCGCCGGCCGGAGCCCTCTCGGGAACCCGGCGCCTCCCCCACCCAGGTAGTGCGGTGACCACCAGAGGGTGATCCGGGAGAGCCCCGACTCCGTGTGCGGGGTTCCAGCGTGGGAGGAGCTGTGGTTCATGGAGCTTCCAGTCCTACCTTTCTCCCCCTGAAATTAACCTGAGGTTTTGTTAAAACGTTAAACAGTGTGTTTGAGCAAACGGCGAATCATAAACCGGGTACCGCAGTCATGGTTTGTGGTTTGGGGTCCACAGGAGGGGCGTAAATGAGAGGCTTTGATAAGTTAATGAGGAAGCAAATCATATATATATAATATATATTATATAACATGTATAATATATATTACATATAAAATATATAATATATGTAACATATAATTTATAATGTATATTGTATATGTTATATATAACATATATATATATATATATTTTTTTGAGACGGAGTCTTGCCCTGTAGCCAGGCTGGAGTGCAATGGTGCAGTCTCAGCTCACTGCAACCTCTGACTCCCGGGCTCAAGCGGTTCGTCTTCCTCAGCCTCCCAAGTAGCTGAGCTTACAGGCGCCTACCACCACGTCCAGCTAATTTTTGTATTTTTAGTAGAGACAGGGTTTCACCATGTTGGCTAGGTTGATCTCGAACTCCTGACCTTAATTGATCGCCTGCCTCGGCCTCCTAAAGCACTGGGATTACAGGTGTGAGCCACCTTGGCGAAAATATGTTTCTGTTTCCAAACATCTCACGAGAGGAAAGCGGGGAATAAATCATCTGACACTCTACTGTAAAAAAAAATCTTTGTGCCTCTCTTCATCTTTCCTAAGTGTACATATTACCAAAATGTCTTTAGGTTGAGGTCCCCCGGTGAAAACTTTACAGGGTGTTGTGTCCTCAGCCACTCTCCTGTCTTTTCCTAGTCCTGGCATTTTAGAACTGTCTGGGGATGACCCAGGATACCCACAGTGGCCATGTCTATTGGAGGGTCTAGTGAGTATCAGCCCCGGGGTCATCTCATCGCCAAGGACAGCCTGAGGTAGGGGGTAGAGTCTCTCAGGGGAGCAGCTGGATGCTCTTGGCCTTAGAGGAATCTCCTGGTATAGTTTCATCTAAAATGGTGACCCCTTAGGGTCATTAAAATTTTAGGATATTAAAATTAATGGACAATACAATGTAGTGTCATGAAAGTTAGGTCATTAAAACTGTTCCTCCAGCTGGAGTTTTTATTCCTGGGAGACACATTGATGGTTTGCCAATGGGATGCTGATACTGAGAGGAAAAGGCAGAAATGATTTCTGCTCTCTAAATAGTCTCAGACTTGTGAAGAGAGAAAAACCGTCCCAAAGGACAAGGAAAACCCGCCCCAGAGAGGACGTGCAAGAACCTGAATATTAAAATGCACTTAAAGGCCCACAGGAGGACAAAGAGCAGTGCCAGTGCCTCCTAGGAGGTCACTGAGTACTTTACTGAACAGGATGGGTGTCCCAAGGAAGAGGAATAGAATGGTCTGCCGGGACACTTAGAAAGGTCTGTGTTGGAGTCAGCACTGCCTCTCCCTGAGTTTGTTACCTTGAAAAGGCTTGTCCGCTTATTTGCCTTTCTATTTGCCTTTCGGTTTTTCATGGACTGTAAGATACATTTTGTCAGTACAGCTTGAAAGGTAAAAATACTATTTCCAAAGGGGCAAGGTAAAAGGATGTATTTTATTTGCTAAAAATTCGTATTTATTTCTTCCCCAGAGTGAGTGTAGTAAGTTTTAAAGGTCTGTTCTTTTTAAGGGTAATTTCAAATGGAATTGTAGGACTTAGCTTTGTAAATGATACTGGTGAAATGAAATGTGGTAGATAAATTTATGGTTTACAAAGATTCACCAAAATGTCAGTTCCCCTCTTGTAGCATGGTGAAGAATTTATGACAGTGGACACATCTGTATCCTCTTATCTGGATATCTGAGGGTCTTTTTGTTGTTTTTTGTTTTTTTGGAGACACTGTCTTGCTCTGTAGCCCGGCTAGAGTGCAGTGGCGCCATCTTTGCTTACTGCAACCTCCACCTCCCGGGTTCAAGTGATTCTCCTGTGTCAGCCTCCCGAGTAACTGGGATTATAGGCACCCACCACCACACCCAGCTAATTTTTGTATTTTTAGTAAACACGGGGTTTTAGGCCTGGCACGGTGGCTCATGCCTGTAATCCCAGCACTTTGGGAGGCCAAGGTGGGCGCATCACGAGGTCAGGAGTTCCAGACCAGCCTGGCCAACATGGTGAAACCCTGTCTCTACTAAAAATACAAAAAAATTAGCTGAGCGTGGTGGCAGGCACCTGTAATCCCAGCTACTCGGGAGGTTGAGGCAAGAGAATTGCTTGAACCCAGGAGGTGGAGGTTGCAGTGAGCCAAGATCTTGCCACTGCACCCCAGCCCAAGCGACAACGTGAGACTCTGTTTCAAAAAACAGACAAACAACAAAAAGACGGGGTTTTGCCATGTTGGCTAGGCTGGTCTCAACCTCCTGACGTCAGGTGATCACCCGCCTCAGCCTCCCAAGGTGCTGGGATTACAGGCGTGAGCCACCACGCCCGGCCCACTCTATTTTCTTTTTATTCCCTAAATTTTAATATGTTTGAGTTTGTCTGTTCCTTTATCACTTTTTTCTTACATAAAAAAAAATTCTGCCTAATCCTTCATAAAAAAAAAATCTTCCTGTGACTTCTGAAAGTGTTCTGGTTTTATCTTTCATATTTGATATATAATAAGTTGACTATTGTTCATGGAATAAAGAAGAATGCAATGCATTTTCCCAAGTAGATGCCAGCCTGGTTTGCCTCATATTTTAAAGTGCATGTGATTTCTTTTTCTATTCTACAGTGCCTACTCTATCATTCCTCAACTTTCCGTATAAGTGCTGGGTCATTAAGACTTTTTTTTCCCTGGATCTGCTTGCTCATCTGTCTGCTAATACTGTGCTGTCCTGAGTATTTTCGTTTGAAAATCTTAGAAGTATGTTAGACAAGCCATCACTCTTTTTTTAGATGACTAAAAATCATTAGACATTTGTCATTTTTACTACGTATGAAAAAGTAGTTTTTCTTGCCTAAAAAAACCTGATTTGGGAATTTATGTGATTTCATAGGAATAGCATCTGGAAGTGGTGACATTAATGTCATTTTAAAAACGTGTCAGTTTCCTTTTATTCCTTTCTGCCTTGACATTGTGCAATAGAAATTTAAAAAATTGTTGTATTAGTATTGTTAAATATCAATTTTTTTTATTTACTACTCAATTACATTTAATAAGCCTATTCTCTTTTGGTGTAATCACATGGAATGGGTTCAACTCCCCAGTTAACAAGTGACAGCACATGTAAAATACTGTCTACCGGGGAAATTCACTGAACACTTACTTTCAGACTGTGTTTTGGTGTCTGGTTCCCTAAGCACCACTGCAGTGACACAAAATAATAGACCTTCAGCAGAAAAAGTTTTGGCAAATATATTGCATAAGCCATTTAGAGGCAGTGAGTCGTTCTTATTACTTAGGTTGGTGGAATCCCTTTCAAAATGTAAGTTACTAATACAAAGATTGAACTTTGGGAGCAGGCATTTTTAAGAACAAGTAGTCTCAGGACTGATAATATTAACTCACTTATGCACATCAGCTAGGACTTTATTATGACAGATACTAGAAATGTACAAAGTGAAGTTAAAAGGTAACTCCTAGCAGCATATCGTAATCTTACTCCCTGGATTCTCTAATGAGATGGGTGTTTCTACTTTGCTGTTGCCTTTTTGAATAGTTCAATTCTAGCATTAGTACTGCTGTGTGGGAGGGAGTATGTGTGAACAGAGTAAGAGTTGTGACAATCAAGTCATAGGATAAATGCTTGGAAATTTTTGAATCATGTAAACAGCTTATGAATTGAGTATAGATTCCCAGTGCTGTCAGTCTCACCCATCCTTCTAGCCACATGTGTGGATTGTTCTAGGACTCCGTGGCTTTTGAGGATGTGGCTGTGAACTTTTCCCAGGAGGAATGGGCTTTGCTGGATTCTTATCATAAGAATCTCTACAGAGAAGTGATGCAGGAAACCTGCAGGAACCTGGCTTCTGTAGGTGAGAATGATAACATTTCACTTAATTACAGAAGTATTTCCCTATCATCAGTGCTATTTGTGATTTGGAATGTGGCAAGGGAATGATTTGGTGAATAAATCAGGCATGGGCACTGTGTACAATGAACATGAAATCTAGTAATGTTTCTATAGTTTGTAATAATTCATGATAATTTTGTGGGTCTGCATTTTAGGAAACAAATGGAAAGACCAGAATAGTGAAGATCACTTCGAAAAACCTGGGAAAGATATAAGATAATTTGCACTGAGAAGAGGAAATAAAGTCCTCTGAAGGAATCTTAGCTTGTCATGAACTTAAAAACAAGCAATCAAAACAAGTAAGGGTCACTTGAAATTTCTTTCTTTTTAGAAAAATTTCACCCAAAATGTAACGTACTTCAGTGTAGCAGTCAATGTTTGGAAAACAGTTTACTTGAAAATAGTACTACAAAAGTGTATATGAATGTTACTATTTTGGTCATAACCATGCAGGTGGTAGCTGTGTTTTCAGTAGTAACCCATTTACTTTCAAATAATTCAGTCATGGCAAAAAAAAAAAAAAAAAAAAAAAAAAAAAAAAGCGTTTTCCCTGGTATTGGCAGCAGTGTAAGTCCAAGACCTATTAATAAGTAGAAAGTTATTAAACCAATAATAATGTGCTTGTCATTTTTTTATAGAAATCATATGGTACAGAGATTGTGTGAAAGCAAAGAAGGTAGTCAGTATGGATAAGTTGTCAGCCAAATTCCAAATCTTGATCTGAATGAGAACATTTCTACTGGATTAAAACAATGTGAATGCAGTATTTGTGGAAAAGTCATTGTACGTCATTCCCTCCTTAATAGGCCTTCATAGGCACATCCTAGTTCACTCAGGATACAAACCATACGGAGAGAAGCAATATAAATGTGAACAGTGTGGGAAACTCTTCATTTCTGTTCCAGGTGTTAGAAGACACATGATAATGCACAGTGGAAATCCAGCTTGTAAATGTACAATATGTAGGAAAGCTTTTTATTTTCTCAATTCAGTTGAAAGACATCAGAGAACTCACACAGGAGAAAAACCCTATAAATGTAAACAATGTGGTAAAGCGTTCACTGTTTCCAGTTCTTGTCTAATACAGGAACGAACTCACACTGGAGAGAAACCCTACGAATGTAAGGAATGTGGGAAAACATTCAGATTTTCTTGTTCTTTTAAGACGCGTGAAAGGACTCACACTGGAGAAAGACCCTATAAATGTACCAAATGTGAGGAAGCCTTCACCTGTTCCACTTCCCTTCATGACCATGGAAGCGTTCATGCTGGAAAGAAACCCTATGAATGTAAACAGTGTGACCAAGCCTTCAGTCGCCTCAGTTCCCTTCACCTCCACGAACGAATTCATACTGGAGAAAAACCCTACGAATGTAAGAGATGTGGTAAAGCCTACACTTGTTCCAATCACCTTACTCGCCATGAAAGAAGTCATGATATAGAGGCTGGGGGTAGTGACTCAGCCTATAATCCCAGCACTTTGGGAGGCCAAGGTGTGTGTGTATTGAGCCCAGGAGTTCATAACCAGCCTGGATTAAAACAATGTGAAACAACCTGGGCAACATGGTGAAACCCCATCTCTACAAAAAATAAAATAATGCCGAGTGCGGTGGCTCATGCCAGCTACTCGGGAGGCTGAGGCAGGAGAATGGCGTGAACCTGGGAGGCGGAGCTTGCAGTGAGCCGAGATTGCACCACTGCCCTCCAGCCTGGGTGACAGAGCGAGACTCCGTCTCAAAAAAAAAATAATAATAATAATAATTAGCTGGGCGTGGTGGCACATTTCAGTTGTCTTAGTTCTTTTTCAAGGACATAAAAAGCCACGAGGGGTTGGGGGGAAGCCCTGTGCATGCGGATCACAAGGTCAGGAGATCGAGACCATCCTGGCCAACATGGTGAAACCTTGTCTCTACTAAAAATACATAGATTAGCTGGGTGTGGTAGCATATGCTTGTAATCCCAGCTACTCAGGAGGCTGAGGCAGGAGAATCACTTGAACCCAGGAGGCGGAAGTTGCAGTGAGCCGAGATTGTGCCACTGCACTCCAGCCTGGCGACAGAGTGAGACTGCATCTCAAAAATAAGTAAATAAATAAATAAATAAAGCCCCTTGAATGTAAGCAATGTGGTAAAACATTTACTCTTTCCCATTCCCTCATAAACACGAAAGAGCTCACACTGCAGAGAAACTTTAAGAATGTAGGAAATGTGGTCAAGCCTTCAGATTTTCCTGTTTTTGAAGATTTGGGAGGACTCAGAGTGGAGAAAAGCCTTTTGAATTTAAATTTGTGGTAAGGCCTTCAGTTGTGTTAGTTCCATTTGAAGACATCAGCTCAGTCCTGAGAAAAACCCTATGAATGTCCAGAACATGGGAACGCTTCATTTCTCTCATCCCCACTCAAGGACATATGAAAATGCACACTAGCTGGCTGGACCTTGTAAATACAAGAACGTGCACAGGATTCAAACTCTAATAGTTTAGAAACTGCAAGAATACTTTCAGTTTTAACATTTACTTGAAGTCATGTGAAAACTCCCACTGGAAAGAAGTTCTATAAGTGAAGCTTTTCTAATTTGGAAAGCCTGATGCAAATTAATTATCGTGCAGTACTTGAAAAACATGTATGAAATGTTACACAAGTTGCAAGTATATTGTTTTTATCAGTGGCTCATTCTTAAAGAGGCTTGAGTATGCATTTCACCTTGTTTTGCAGGGAAACTTCTGTAAATGCCCTTCAGGCAGTAGTACTTGAATTTCATAGATAATGATATTTTCTTAAGTTTGTTGGTAGAATTGTTGTTTATTCATTTGATAATGTGCTGGTTTCATGGTTGAATTTTGATGTTTTTCTAATATGTACAAAAAAATACAAAAATTAGCTGAGGGTGGTGGCGCACGCCTGTGGTCCCAGCTACCTGGGAGGCTGAGGCTGGAGGATCACTTGAGTTTGGGAGGTTGAGGCTGCAGTGAACCAAGATCGCACCACTGTACTCCAGCCTGGGCGATAGAGGGAGACCTTGTCTCAAAGCAAACGAGAAGCTGGAAGAAAATGAATATTGCAAAGCACTTACATAGATCTGAGGCCTTTTACATGCAAGGTTATTTGTGAGGATTATGAGATATCATAAAGGCAGGTAGGGTTAGCTCCATTTTACAGATGGAGAAGCTGAGGCTTAGAGGTGAAAACTTGCCCTGCAATACAGGATTCAGACCCCAGTAAGCCTACCTGGAAAGCCCTTCCCAGCATATTATGTTGTCCATAGAGGGAAAAGATGAGCAAAGAATGGGGACTTTTCAAGTATTCATGTGAATATCAATGATCGAATCATGTGTGGGTATCTTGAGTTTGGCAATATAAATGACTAGTTGTGCGGAAGCAAAATATCACATTTCCTGCTCCAGCAGAACTGTAGGATTCTCTAACCACAAGCATGACTCATGGTTGGAGTGCACACTCTGGATAATATAGATTTCAAATTCCAGCATATGATGAAGATATGGGAAACGTAGTTATTTACTTATTTATTGAGGCAGGGTCTCGCTCTGTTACCCAGGCTGGGATGCAGTGACATGATCTCACCTCACTGCAACCTCCACCTCCCGGGTTCAAGTGATCCTCCTGCCTCAGCCTCCCTAATAACTGGATTACAGGAGCCCACCACCACGCCCAGCTGATTTTTGTATTTTTAGTAGAGGTGAGGTTTCACCATGTTGGCCAGGCTGGTCTCGAACTCCCGACCTCAGGTGATCCACCTATCTCGGCCTCCCAAAGTGCTGGGATTACAGGTGTGAGCCACCGTGCCCAGCCAGATAAGGGAAATTTATACAGGAGGTTATAAAGCCTTATCGATGTTCCAACTTATTTTCTGGGTTTCATGTTCTGAGAACAATTACCAACCGTCTCAAATTCTGGGGTCATCAAAGCTCCGCAGTTTTGTTGCTGCTTGCTTCCAGACTTTTTTTTTTTTTTTTTTTTTTTTGAGACGGAGTCTCGCTCTGTCACCCAAGCTGGAGTGCAGTGGCGCAACCTCGGCTCACTGCAAGCTCTGCCTCCCGGGTTCACGCCATTCTCCTGCCTCAGCCTCCCCAGCAGCTGGGACTACAGGCACCCGCCACCACGCCCGGCTAATTTTTTTTTTTTTTTTCTGAGAGAGAGTCTCACTCACTTTGTCGCCCAGGCTGGAGTGCAGTGGCATGATCTTGGCTCAGTGAAACCTCTGCCTCCCAGGTTCAAGTGATTCTCCTGCCTCAGCTTCCTGATTAGCTGGGACTACAGGCTTGCACCACCATGCCCAGCTAATTTTTGTATTTTTGGTAGAAACGGGATTTCACCATGTTAGCCAGACTGGTCTCGAACTCCTGATGTCAAGTGATGTGCCTGTTTCCGTCTCCCCAAGTGCTGAGATTACAGGCGTGAGCCACCGCGCCCAGCCTCTTCAAGGAGACTTTGAAGCCTCTGGAGAGGCACCTACAGGTCCCAGTTTGGACATGAGCATCTCCAGCCCAGAGAGGGTCTCAGTAAAGAAACCCCACTGAGGATGGGCCAGCACCCCCAGGTGATGCAACTCCGTGGGTTTCTCCTGGGCATCACTACCTATCGGGAGAACCCGCTCCCAATGTTTAACGTGGGTTCTTTTCTATTTCCCAAGTGTCTCAGCTGGGTTGAGAAATAAAGGGAAAGAGCACAAGAGAGATAAATGTAAAGCTGGGTGTCTGGGGAGACATCACATGTCCGCAGGATCCGTGATGCTCCCCGAGCGGTAAAACCAGCAAGTTTTTATTAGCGATTTTCTTTTTTTTTTTTTTTTTTTGAGAAGGAGTCTGACTCTGTCACCCAGGCTGGAGTGCAGTGGCCGGATCTCTGCTCACCGCAAGCTCCTCCTCCCGGGTTTACGCCATTCTCCTGCCTCAGCCTCCGGAGTAGCTGGGACTACAGGCACCCGCCACCTCACCCGGCTAGTTTTTTGTACTTTTTAGTAGAGACGGGGTTTCACCGTGTTAGCCAGGATGGTCTCGATCTCCTGACCTCGTGATCCGCCCGTCTCGGCCTCCCAAAGTGCTAGGATTACAGGCTTGAGTCACCGCGCCCGGCCATTAGCGATTTTCAAAAGGGGAGGGAGTGCACGAATAGGGTGTGGGTCACAGAGATCACATACTTCACAAGGTAATAAAATACCACAAAGCAAGTGGAGTCAGGGTGAGATCACAGGACCACGGGATGAGGTGAAATTAAAATTGCTAATGAAGTTTGGGGCACGCATTGTCATTGATAACATCTTATCAGGAAACAGGGTTTGAGAGCAGATAACCTGTCTGACCAAAATTTATTAGGTGGGAATTTTTGTCCACCTGATAAGCCTGGGAGCACTTTAGGAGACCAGGGCTTATTTCGTCCCTTCGGCTTCGACCAAAAAAGACGGGACGCCTTAAAAAGGGGCCGTCTATAAGCCTACCTTCAGGGTGCATTCTCTTTCTCAGGGATGTTCCTTGCTGAGAAAAAGAATTCGGCGATATTTCTCCTATTTGCTTATGAAAGAGGAGGAATATAGCTCTGTTCCGTCCGGCTCACTGGCGGCCAGTTCAAAGTTACCTCTCTTGTTCCCTAAACATCGCTGTTATCCTGTTCTTTTTTTAAAATGCCCAGATTTCATATTGTTCAAACACACATGCTCTACAAACAATTTGTGCAGTTGACACAATCACAGGGTCCTGAGGCGACATTCATCCTCCTCAGTTTACAAAGAAGATGACGGGATTAAGAGATTAAAGTAAAGACAGGCATAGGAAATCACGATATTCATTGGGGAAGTGATAAGTGTCCATGAAATCTTCACAATTTATGTTCAGAGATTACAGTAAAGACAGGCATAAGAAATTATAAAAGTATTAATTTGGAGAACTAAAAAATGTCCATGAAATCTTCACAATTTATGTTCTTCTGCCGCGGCTTCAGCCGGTCCCTCTGTTCAGGGTCCCTGACTTCCCACAACACATCCCCTTTTCCCCTTTCAGACTCCTCTGGGTTGTTTGGCCTGGGAGCTGATGATGTAAGTGCATTTTTCATTGCAATGAGATCTTAGGGCTCTGTAGGACTTTGACGAAGAGTCAGGCCTGTGAGTGCTGTCAGACACTGGCCTGGAAGGTCTGGGGTCTCCCTGGTGTGCAGAGGGCAGGTCTTCACCATGTGATGACGCTTCACAGCCTGGGAAGGGCGTGTCTATCATTGCGCTTTTAATTTGCATTTGCCTAACTGTAAATTACATACTATCACACTGGTCTTTAAGCAAAAAAAAAAAAAAAAAAAAAAAAAGAAATTAAATACAAATTGTAGTCACACACTGCATAACGATGTTTTGGTCAAAGATGGACTGTATATACAATAGTGCTCCCATAAAATTATAATGGATTTTTTTTTTCTTTCTGAGATTGAGTCTCACTCTGTCACCCGAGCTGGAGTGCAGTGGTGCAATCTCAGCTCACTGCAACCTCTGCCTCCCGGGTTCAAGTGATTCTCCTGCCTCAGCCTCCCAAGTAGCTGGGATTACAGACATGTGCTACCATACCCGGCTAATTTTTTATTTTAGTACAGACAGGGTTTCATCATGTTGGCCAGGTTTGTCTCTAACTCCTGACCTCAGGTGATCCGCCAGCCTCGACCTCCCAAAGTCCTGGGGTTACAGGTGTAAGCCACCGTGCCCAGCCCATTTTAATCTTTTATATCGTATTTTTACTGTCCCTTTTCTATATTTAGAGATGTTTAGAGACACAAATACTTACCATTGTGTTATAGTTGCCTGCAATATTCGGTACAAGCGCATGCTGTACAGTTCTGTAGCCTGGGAGCAATAGGCCATACCACGTAGCCTAGGCATGGAATAGGCCAGACCACCTAGGTTTGTGTAAATACACTCTGTGATGTTTGTGCAATGATGAAATTGCCTAAGGATGTATTTCTTAGAATGTGTCCCCTTCGTTAGGTGATGAACGACTGCACTAGTGAGGTTGAGCATCTTTTCAAATATTTACTGGCCATTGGATATCTTCTTTTGTGAAGTGTCTATTCAAGTTTCTCATACACTTTTCTATTGAACTATTTATCTTCTTACTAATGATAGGAGTTCTTCGTGTTTGCTGGAAATGGGCCTTTTGTTGATCAAGGGACTGTTCAGTAACGAGAGTGAAGGAGGAGGGTGGAGAGTGGTGGGGGGCCTGTCATCAAGCCATGGAAACCACAGAAAAAGCCCTTGGCCTTAGCCTGAGAGCCATGGTGCCCTGGAGAAGGGTTTCTTACCACCTGACTATTCTGTTCTCTTCAAGACTGACAGCATCGGTGTCATTTGGGAGTTCGGTTAAAAATACAGAATTCCGGCTGGGTGCGGTGGCTCATGGCTGTAATCCCAACACTTTGGGAGGCCAAGGCAGGCGGATCATTTGAGGTCAAGAGTTCGAGGCCAACCTGAGCAACATAGTGAAATCCCGTCTCTACTGAAAATACAAAAAAATTAGTTGGGCGTGGTGGCACGCACCTGTAGTCCTAGCTACCCGGGAGGCTGAGGCAGGAGAATTGCTTGAACCCAGGAGACAGAGGTTGCAGTGAGCCAAGATCGCACCACTGCACTTCAGCCTGGGAGACAGAACAAGACTCCATCTCAAAAAGAAAAAAAAAAAATCGAGACTAGCCTGGCCAACATGGTGAAACCCTGTGTCTACTAAAAATACAAAAATTAGCTGGGAGTGGTGGCATGCACCTGTAGTCCCAGCTACTTGGGAGGCTGAGGCAGGAGAATCGCTTGAACCCGAGACGTGGAGGTTGCAGTGAGCCGAGATTGCAACACTGCACTCCAGCTTGGGCAGCAAGAGTGAAACTCCGTCTCAAAAAAAAAAAAAAAAAAAAGAAAGAAATACAGAATTCCAGCCCCTGTCCTGTCCAAGACCTCCTGAAACACAATCAGCAATTTGATAAGGTCTTCAGGGAATCATTTACACGGTAGTCTGGGCAGTGCTGGTTTGTCAAGAACCTTCAGGGTCACATCTGTGCTCTTCACAAACATTGCTTGGATTAAAAAGGGCAGAAGGGGCAGAGCTGTCCATGGTCATGGTTCTGTTCCAAGGTAAATATACGCTTTCCTCTGTGCTGATTTTTTCTGATGAGAAGACCAGAATATTTATGCAACTCCCTTGAGTGGTTATATATTTATAGGGGCAGGCAGTGGTCAACAGTGGCCCGAACCCTTGGACTCCTTGCTCAAAGCTGCCTCAGCTCATCTGCCTGAAATTCCAGTTACTGTCATGTTGTGCGGACCCATACAGGAACAAAATGTGCATCTCTCAGGTAGCTACCCTGCGCCCACAGACTGACAACAGGTGGTGACCCAGGTAAGTACTTCAACCGAATGAACTTTAATTTCCTTGACTACACAATGCGAGTAACAAATGTGCTTACTTTACAATGTTATTTGGAGTGGTACATGAGAAAATGGATGTCAAGTCTTTTTTTTCATTAAATGATATGTCAGTCAAAAGATTAGTGTGGATGGTGGTTACCACGGGTGGTGGACTCGAAATGGCCTGTGTTCACTTCCTTTTGCTTATCAAAGTGTTGACATTTGTTATCAAGATCAGGCAAAACATATGTGTGTGCAGGTTTTGAATAAAAAGCTAAAAAGATATCATCTTTATCAGTATCTAGATAGATTCAAAAAAGCAAAGCTAAGATAGTATTATGAATCAAAATGTCTTTTCTTCTATGCTCTGAAGAACTAATAGCATGTCAAAAAAATTATACTAAGGTATAAAACACACAAAATTTTCACACACACACACTTCTGAGAGTTTCTATTTTCACGGCTATTGTAGGCGCCAGTCTGTTGTTTCTGTGCTGAATGTTCTGGAAAGTCTGAAGCCAACATGCTTGGTTGCTCAAGAAATTCCTTTGTTGTATCTGAAATCTAGTAACTTCATTACATTTTCCCTGCTGCCACCATTCAGCAGCCATTTTTCCTGGGACCTACTGTGCTCTCTTATATCTAGAAATATTTCTTGAATTTTATCTTTAAATATTTGTTCTGTTCACATTTTCCAGTTTTCTTCTTTGAGGATTCCAAGGAGCATATGTTGGCATTAGCAAAATTCCTACTTATTCCATATGTTTTTGGTAAACTTTTTTTCAGCACTTTAACTTCATCCCTGTCTTCTATGTCTTTTTTTTAGTAGTGTCTGTTTCCTCGTGTATAAAATCCAATGAGCGTTGATTTTTTGTAATGAGTTTATTTTTCTCTTCTCTCCTAAGCTCCACCAGCTTCCATTTACTTTCCTCCTGTTACCTTGCCATGTTTCCTCTGAGCCCTCACATCTCTGTTTTATGGTCTTACATTGTAGGGGAAATTGCTTCACCAACTTTAATAAAATTAATTACAGAAGAATGATAGTTTCCATCAGCTTGCTGGCAGCATGTTTCTGGTGAGTGTTCTTTATCTGCCCTTTGTTTTTACTGTTGTTGCTGTCTGCCTTTAGGTCTTTCTGTTTTTTTTTTTTTTTTTTGAGACAGGGTCTTGCTGTGTTGCCCAGGCTGGAGTGCAGTGCTGTGATTACAGCGCACTGCAGCCTCAACCTCCTGGACTCAAACAATCCTCCTACCTCAATCTCCCAAGTAGCTGGGCTACAGGTGTGCACCGCTACACCTGGCTAATTTTTTTCTTTTTTATTCTTTTTTTTTTTTTTTGTAGAGACAGGGTCTCACTTTGTTGCCCAGGTTGGTCTTGAACTTCTGGGCTCAAGCGATCCTCCCACTTTGGCCTCTTGAAGTGTTAGCATCACAGGTGTGAGCCACCTCACCCAATCCCTTTTTGTCTATATACTTAAATGCCTATAAATGTGTGTGTGTACATATATATATATATTTATTTTAATTATAGTGAAATATATATAACCTAAAGTTTTCTATTTCAAGCATTGTTAAGTGTACAGGTCAGTGGCATTAGGTGCACTCACATTGTTGTGCAGCCATGGCCACCATCATCCACAGAACTCTTGCAAAACTGAAACTTTGCCCCAAGTAAACATAACTCCTCATTCCCCTCCCCCAGCCCCTGGCAACCGCCACTCCTCTCCCTAGCTTCATGAATTTGACTACCCTAAGAATCCCATATGAGGGGAATCCTACAGCGTATGTCCTGTGAGTGGCTTATTTCACCGAGCAGAATGTCTTTAAGGTTCATCCATGCTGTAGCGTGGGTCAGAACTTCCTTCTGGCCAGGCACCGTGGCTCAGGCCTGTAATCCCAACACTTTGGGAGTCCAAGGTGGGTGGATAACCTGAGGTCAGAAGTTCAAGGCCAGACTGGCCAACATGGTGAAACCCCGTCTCTACTAAAAATAAAAAAATATTAGCCGGGCACGGTGGCACATGCCTGTAATCTCAGCTACTAGGGAGGCTGAGGCAGGAGAATTGCTTGAAGCCGGGAGGGGGAGGTTGCAGTGAGCCGAGATCGTGTCATTGTACTCCAGCCTGGGCAACAATAGTGGAACTCTGTCTCAAACAACAACAGGCCGGGCTCGGTGGCTGACGCCTGTAATCCCAGCACTTTGGGAGGCTGAGCGGGCGGATCACGAGGTCAGGAGATTGAGACCATCCTGGCTAACACGCTGAAATCCCATCTTTACTAAAAATACAAAAAATTAGCTGGGCGTGGTGGCGGGCGCCTGTTGTCCCAGCTACTCTGGGGGCTGAGGCAGGAGAATGGCATGAACCCGGGAGGTGGAGCTTTGCAGTGAACCGAGATCGTGCCACTGCACTCCAGCCTGGGCGACAGGCCGAGACTCCGTCTCAAAAAAAAAAAAGATGTCCTTCTTTCTTGAGGAGGAATAATAGTTCATGATGTATATGTATCATCTTTTGTTCATCCATTCATCCATCAATGGACAGTTGGCTTGTTTCCATATTTTGGCTATTGTGAATAATTCTGCTATAACTATTGGTATACAAATATCTCTTTGAGACCCTGCTTTCAATTCTTTTGGGTATATATATATGGAGAAGTGGAATTGCTGGATCATATGTTAGTTTTATTTTTAATTTTTTGAGGAACCACCCTGTTGGTTCACACAGGGTGAAAAACGTGTTGTTTTTTATGGACCAGCTATCTTACACAGCAGCTGCATTGTTTTCCACTCCAACCGGCAATTCACAAGCATTCCAGCTTCTCCACAATATATATCTCACCATGTTTTTCTTTCTTTCTTTCCCTCCCTCTCTCCCTCCCTCCCTCCCTTCCCTTTCTCCCTCCCTCCCTCACGGAGTTTTGCTCTTGTCGCCCAGGCTGGAGTGCGGTGGTGTGATCTCAGCTCGCTGCAACCTCTGCCTCCCAGGTTCAAGTGATTCCCCTGCCTCAGCCTCCCGAGTAGCTGGGTTTACAGGTGTCACCACCGCACCTGGTTAATTTTTGTATTTTAGTAGAGATGGGGTTTGGCCATGTTGGCCAGGCTGGTCTTGAACTCCTGAACTCGAGTGATCCACCTGCCTCGGCCTCCCAAAGTGCTGGGATTACAGGCATGAGCCACCACACCCGGCTCATTTTTATTTTTTGGTAAGAGTCATCTGCATAAGCGTGAAGTGGTATCTCATGTGGTTTTCAAAATAATTATTATTTTTTAATTTTTTGTGGAGACAGAGTGTCGCTGTTGTTGCCCAGCTTGATCTTGAACTCCTAGCCTCAAGCGATCCTCCCACCTTAGCCTCCCAACATACTGGGATTACAGGCATAAGCCACCGTGCCTAACCTCATTGTGGTTTTGATTCGCATTTTCCTAATGATTAGAGACGTTGGGCATCTTTTCACATGCTCATTGGCACGTATTGGGAGAAATATCTATTCACGTCCTTTGTCCATTTTAAAAATTGGGGTTTTTTTGTTATTAATATTTTTTCTGTGTAGACCTTGTGTTGATGGCTTTTCTTCTTTTTATGGGCCAGTTACTTAGGGAAAATTAAATAGAAAAATACCAGGACTGTGTTCTAGGATAGCAGAACTGTTCTTTATGACCTAGGCCTTCCACCTGAATTTCTAGTATATATTCCTCCCCAGCAATGGAATTGGCAGTTTTCAGACTGTTCACAATGTGAGGTGTTTTCCCCTCTCTGCCTCAAAAACAAACTGCTTCCTATAAATATGGCTGGTCTCACTGTGTTTCCTCATTTAGTCATATCTTCACTGCTTTGTGAAACCAATCCGGATTCACTGCCAACCTGTACACCTTAGTCTTACTATTTTGAACACAGCGTTTTATTGTTGCACTTTGGGGATACCCCTCACCTGAAATTTGCATTTATCAACATCCTCTCTCCTCTTCGTCCCAAAGCCCTGCTCATTCCCATTGCTTTTGGCATCCTTTTAATCTAGTTTATCTATTTCCCCTAGTCTCTAATAGATGGTATCTGTTTCATTTTCCTTGTTGCTTATGGGTAATTTTTGAAAGAAGAGAAATTGAGAATGTGATCCATTCATGTTCAAACCAGAAGTCTTTGCAAGCACTTCTGAGAGTTACTGTATTATGATGGAGACAGTGAGAGGCTTGACAGCAAAAGAAACAGATGCTGGGGTCCCTTCCTGCACCCTCTCTCTGGGACAGCTTCCTCTGAGTTATTCCTCGACCCCTCCACCTACCATTGGTGTTTCCCAGCTCCAGCCTCAGTGCTCTTCTCCTCTTCAAGCTCTCCAACCTCCGTGGATTTTATGTTTACGAATTTCCATCTTGGAGTCACCAGGCCTCAGCTCCATATGGCGCCCAGCCACTCATTGCCTCTCTGAATGACTGTGGGGTTGGTTTTCTTCTTTAGGAGGGGAAGCTGCATCTCTTCCGGCCCAGGATCCATTGTCACCTTCAGAGAGAGAAGCGCCAAGGGATCCTCAGAGACACCATGACGGCAGCGCCAACCAAAATCCACCCAGGTAATCCTCCCCTGTTCAGTAAGTTCTCTTGACCCCAGCTTACCGTCCCCACCTACGATGGGAGATGCTAGAGATTATGAAGTGACTTGAGGTACTGGATGTGGCTGTTCCTGGGTCCGAAAGTGAAGGTGAGGAACTAAAGTCCCTTTCCTGCCCTATTTCCCATGAGATTCTGCTCACGCTCCTCCTACAATTAGAGACCTGTCATCCTGGTTTCCTTAGCTATGGTGACTATCCTTCACGAACCTCAAATGCGGATACATACTCAAGTCAGAATACAACATCTGTGTTGGCCATAGTGGCCAAGCCTGTAATCCCAGCACTTTGGGAGGCTGAGGCAGGTGGATCACGTGAGGTCAGGAGTTTAAGACCAGCCTGGCCAACATGGTAAAACCCCATCTCTACTAAAGATACAAAAATTAGCCAGGCATGGTGGTGCACACCTGTAATCCCAGCTACTCGGAAAGCTGAGGCAGGAGAATCGCTTGAACCTGGGAGGCGGAGGTTGCAGTGAGCTGAGACCACGCCACTGCATTCCAGCCTGGGTGACAGAGCAAGATTCTGTCTCAAAAAAAAAAAAAAAAAAAAAAAAAATCTGTGTTATCCCTCCTGCGCCTGCTACTCTTTTTTTTTTTGAGACAAAGTCTGGCTCTGTCGCCCAGGCTGGAGTGCAGTGGCGCGATCTCGGCTCACTGCAACCTCCGCCTGCTAGGTTCACACCATTCTCCTGCCTCAGCCTCCCGAGTAGCTGGGACTACAGGCGCCTGCCACCACGCCCGGCTAATTTTTTGTATTTTTAGTAGAAAGGGGGTTTCACTGTGTTCGCCAGGATGGTCTCGATCTCCTGACCTTGTGATCCGCCCACCTCGGCCTCCCAAAGTGCTGGGATTACAGGCATGAGCCACCGCGCCCGGCCACACCTGCAACTCTTAATGAGTTCAGTTTTGTGGTCAGTCCAGGCACTGCTATCTAATTGTGTGGTCGAGAATTCCAGATTTGTTTTTGGCCCAGCCATGCCTTCTCACTACATGGCCCCCGAGGGACATATTAGCATGAGGGACAATGGGGAACAGTAGCAGCAGAAAAGGACAATGCCTCATTTTACCTTCTGGCATGGGGCTGACTCTCCAGAGTGGAGCTCTCTGGCAGAATGGACTGAACTACATGGCTTAGGTCTATACGAGCCTCTCCCTCTCTCTAAAACCAGACTCCAAGTTCAGGACCACTCTGTCCTCCAGCGATGAGTGCAGGGTGCCCGGCTGAGAAGAGGTGAGAAAGCAAGATAAATGAACTCAAACTCCGTGTTGAGAGAGGAGGCAGGAGCGAGGAGCGGGCTCCTTGCATCTGTGTGTGATTGCTGAGCACAGTGGCCACAGCCTCCACTAAAGGTGACCCCCTGGGTGTCTTGTAATGGAAACCACTCAGAAGAGTCTAACGCCCTCTTTGGGAGATGTGAGGCAAAGCAGGGGGAGAAGGGCAGTTCTTTCTCAGCCCTCAGTGTGATATTCTGAGCTTTCTCAGTGGAAGATGCATTTTAAAATTATCAGAAATGGGTCGATTATGAAATATGATGGTTCGTGAAATAGCTGTGTACATAATCAAGCACAAGTTGGCATTGTTTGACCTCTCATCCTATGTATAAAGCACAAAAGTTGCATAGGAGATGATTTTAACTGGGAGGAAACTATGAGCCCGTTTCATGGACAGACCCAGAACCCGTCCAGTGGTTCTCCCACTCCCGCTATTTGATCATCCTCTGCCTTTGCTGGGTCTCAGGCCTGCTCACTCCCTTCTTGCCTCCTCCCCAAAATAAAGTGTAATAGAGTCGTCTCCCAAGATCTATTCTAGCCTGGTACAGCAGGGAGGGCTGAGCAATATATTAAACATAAAAAACTTAGTGTCAGCTGGGCGCAGTGGCTCAGGACTTTAATCCCAGCACTTTGGGAGGCTGAAGTGGCCGGATGGATCACCTGAGGCCAGGAGGTCGACAGCCTGGTCAACGTGGTGAAACCCCGTCTCTATTAAGAATACAAAAATTAACTGGGCATGGTGGTGCACACCCATAATCCCAGCTACTCGGGAGGCTGAGTCAGGAGAATCGCTTGAACCAGGGAGGCAGAGGTTGCAAAGCTGAGATCATGCCACTGCACTCCAGCCTGGGCCACAGAGCAAGACTGTGTATCAAAAATTAAATACATACACACATACATACATAAGAAAACAAAACTTAGTGTCATGAACAATGAAGTCTTATTCTAAGTGTTGCTCAGTATCTGCCATTTACTGGTCATACACAGAATAGGCAGGAAAGCACAGATAAGACACATCTCTACCTTCAAGGTGAAGCTCCGGGCTGCCACAATAAACCACTTGCTGCATCAGCTGAAACCTCTGCACCGTACCTATCTATGTAGAGCATAGGAAGAGAGCAAAGAAATACAAAGCAGAACGCCTAAAATAATGCGACAAATCAAAGTTGAACAATTATAACAGAAAATTAATATGAATATGAATAACATGAAGAAGAGTATCAAACTGGGTCAAAATCAGATTTGAGTAATTTTCTACATCTAAGAGATAGCCTGAAATAAATAGGACACAAAAGGCCAAAATAACAAGTTAGAAAAACTTACACAGAACAAACAAAGAAGACAATATGAATATTTAATAGTATGAATTTGTCAGACTTTCTTTGTCTTACCATGTGCTTGGCAGCATTCCCAGCACCCCATGGATTACTGTACAAGCTGGAGATTTTATAATGATAAAAAATGAATAATAAATCTCATTATTAAACTCTTTATTCTATTGGCTTTTGTTGTTGTGGAGGCGGAGTCTCGCTCTGTCACCCAGCCTGGAGTGCAGTGGTGCAATCTCAGCGCACTGCAACCTCTACCTCCTGGGTTCAAGAGATTCTCCTGCCTCAGCCTCCCGAGTAGCTGGGACTACAGGTGCCCCCACCATGCCCGGCTAATTTTTGTATTTTTAGTAGAGACAGCGTTTCACCATGTTGGCCAGGCTGGTCTCAAACTCCTGACCTCAGGTGATCTGCCTGCCTCAGCCTCCCAAAGTGCTGGGATTACAGGCGTGAGCCACCATGCCTGGCTTCTATTGGCTTTTATTATAAAACTAACATGTTACTTTGGTAACAAAGCTCAATAACATAGATGAGTGAAAAGTGCAAAAGTATTTTGTCACCCCAGCCCTAAATCTCACTCCCTAAGCCTGTTCACATTTGGTGTATCTCCTTCGAGAATATTCCCCTACTCCTACATCGCATATACAGTACTTTAAAAAAAAATGAGAAAAGAATATAAAGAACATTTTCTTCAACCTATTTTCTTTTGCTTAATATATCCTAGACCTCTTTCTAGGTCAGTTTTACATAGATTTGCCTCGTTCCTTTTCACATCCATAAGCCTTTATTTTGTATTGCTCTATTTTCATGTAAACAGTCCTAGACATGGATTTTTCAAATTGTTTCCATTTCCTTTATACAACTTCAGATAACTGGATGAACATCCGTACACGTTTGTCTGTGTACCTGCTGTTGTGTTGTGTCTGTGGTGGGTGAATTTCTAGAGGTGAGATGCTGAGGGTCAGGCATGTGTACTTCTCGTGTTAAGAGACACCCTGAGAAGGCCAGGTGCAGTGGCTTATGCCTGTAATCCTGGCACTTTGGGAGGCCAAGGAGGGTGGATTGTTTGAGCTCAGGAGTTGGAGATCAGCCTGGGCAACATGGCGAATCCCCATCTCCATATATATATTTTTATATATTAGCTGGGCATGGTGGCACACACCTGTAGTCCCAGCCACTTGGGGGGGTAAGACAGGAGGATCACTTGAGCCTGGGAGGTTACTGCGGTGAGCCGAGATTGTGTCACTGCACTCCAGCCTAGTTGCCAAAATGAGACCATCTCCAAAACAAAAAAAGATACCCTAAATCATCCTTCCAAAAGCCATAGCGGCCGAGTGCAGTGGCTCACGCCTGTAATCCCGGCACTTTGTGAAGCCAAGATGGGTGGATCACCTGAGGTCAGGAGTTCGAGACCAGCCTGGCCAACAGGGCAAAACCCTATCTCTACTTAAAGTATAAAAGTTAGCCTGGTGTGGTGGTGGGTGCATGTAATCCCAGCTACTTGGGAGGCTGAGGTGGGAGAATCACCTGAACCTGGCGGCAGAGGTAGTGAGCCGAGATCATGCCACCACACTTCAGCCTGGGTGACAGAGCGAGACTCGCTCTCAAAAAAAAAAAAAAAAGCAATGTAATCTTATGCTAAGCAAAGTGTCTTATGTCTCAACCAAGTGTACGTGTTCTCCTGTCTCTTTTTCGCCCACACAGGATGCCAAACTAATCAATGAAACAGTAGCTGGCCATGGTCTAAATTTGTGTTTTGGGGCGACTAGTGATGTCAAGCACCTTGTCCCATATTTACTGGCCACAGTACTTCTTTTGTGAAACACCTATTCAAAGAACATAATAAATAATTGTACATAGAAAATTAGAACCAGGTGCAGTTTGAAAGACCACGGACTTTGTTAGGGTTTTTTAAGTCTCTTCAAAAAAGAATAGGCAGGCCAGGTGCGGTGGCTTGTGCCTGTAATCCCAGCATTTTGAGTCTGAGGCAGGCAGATCACCTGAGGTCAGGAGTTCAAGACCAGCCTGACCATCATGGTGAAACCCTCTCTCTACTAAAAATACAAAACTTAGCCAGGCATGGTGGCAGGCACCTGTAATCCCAGCTACTCAGAAGGCTGAGGCAGGAGAGTTGCTTGAACCTAGGTGGCGGAGGTTGCAGTGACTGAGATCACACCACTGCACTCCAGCCTGGGTGACAGAGAGCCTCTATTGCAAAAGAAAAAGAAAAAAAAAAAAGAAAAAAGAAAAGAAAAAAATAGACTTAGGTGAGGACTGGGAGAGACAGGTTTCAGGAATGGGGAAGAGAGTCACATTTATTAATCATATTATAAGCTTAAATTTAAAAAAATCTAAAGCATCCTATGTGGCAAATGAGGAAATTTGCAAGTTTCTGGTTCCAAGGTGTTACCTGGTAAGTTCTCTTAAGCTTTCAGAAAACAAACAATTCTCATGTTGTACAAATTGTCGCAGAAATAGAAAAAATATGCTATTGAATACATTCTGTGAAGCAAATATAACACCGATGATAAACTGTGATCACAAGAAAACTATGGCTCAATATCATGTATTTCTCTATGATGAATATAGGAATAAAATACTAGAGGATATAAATCTATAACATTCTGATTCAAAAATATGCAATGACCAAGTTGGGGGTTTTCCTGGAATGTATGGGTAATTCAGTATATGGAAATCTATGCTAAGAATGCACCACATTCATGGGATAAACAAAAAAGGGAAAGAATAATCATCTCATTGGAGTTTGAAAATTCCACACTTAGTCCTAATAAAAATGTCTAAGTATAGGAATAAAACACACTGCCTTATCATGATGAAAACCAACTGCCAACTGTGAAATACTAGAGTCAATATCATAATATAAAATAAGGATGCAAGGAAACCCAATAAGGCATGAAACCAACATAAGAAAACAAAATACTAAAAACAGAAATAAAAGTCCAACATTATTCATTCATGAATTATTCATTCAATAACTACTACAGTAATAAACATGTAGTCAAGCACAAGAGTATTAAAAATGAGTAACATTTCTATAAGTAACAAGACAAGTTAGAAAACATTACATTAAAAGACCACTATTCATAATTGCATCAAAACAATGTACAACATCAAAGAAATACATGTTAGCAACAAATGTAAAGAATCAAGTCTTATGTGAAAGAAAATGGAAGCCATGACTCCCTGGGAAGCTATATGCTATTGCTGGGTGGAGATACAGCAGATCCTTAGCCTTAATGAGGGAGTTATCCTGAGACCCTCTCAACTGCTCGTGTTTGAAAATACTACATCAAATAACTTCCTTTGTAAAGTTTAACTAAAAATGTAAAGTTTAACTAAAAACATAAGCAGCTCCTCAGGCCGCTGCATGAAGCAGTGTGGCAGGGGGGAAGGGGCCAATCACTGGTTCCATCACTGGTTACAGTAGAGGCAGCAGGCAGGACAAGGTGGCAACATTATCAAAGAACTCATCTGGATAACAAAAGTGTTAAGACCCCAAAGCACGGTTGGGCACGGTGGCTCACGCCTGTAATCCCAACACTTTGGGAGGCCAGCGTGGGCAGATCACTTGAGGCCAGGAGTTTGAGATTAGCCTGGCCAACATGTTGAAACCCTGTCTCTTCTAAAAATACAAAAAATTAGCCAGGTTGGTGGTGCGCACCTGTAGTCCCAGCTACTCGGGAGGCTGAGGCAGGAGAATTACTTGAACCGGGAGATAGTGCCACTGCACTGCAGCCTGGACAACAGAGCAAGACCCTGTCTCAAAAAAAAAAAAAAAAGATGCCAAAGTGCCATGATAAGGGAGTATTTCTATAAACAGGACAATACATCTTCTCTTAAGGAAACAGCATAGAGTCATCAAAAATAATCATTATAACAACTGCATAGCAAGATGGAAAATACTTGTATAACATTACATTTTAAAAACAGGGCACGTGGCTGGCCACATCGGCTCATTCCTGTAATCCCAGCACTTTGGGAGGCTGAGGCAGATGGATCACCTGAGGTCGGGAGTTTGAGACCAGCCTGGCCAACATGGTGAAACCCCCATCTCTACTACAAATACAAGAATTAGCTGGGCGTGGTGGTGTGCACCTGTAATTCCAATGACTCGGGAGGCTGAGACAGGACAATCACTTGAACCCAGGAGGTAGAGGTTGCAGTGAGCCGAGATTGCACCGCTGCATTCCAGCCTGGGTGACAGAGTGAGACCGTCTCAAAAAAATAATAATAATAAATAATAAAAACAGGACACACCATTATAAGTATAAAAACCATGCAAGAAATAATATGGATTTGAAAAATTACTGGAAGTAGAGAATAAAATCAATAGTAGTGGAACTAGGGGTGATTTTTGTCAAATTATATTTTTTGTCAAATTTGACAATTTTTTTGTCAAATTATATTGAAAATACATTTAGCCGGGCGCGGTGACTCACGCCTGTAATCCCAGCACTTTGGGAGGCCGAGGCGGGCGGATCACAAGGTCAGGAGATGGAGACCACGGTGAAACCCCGTCTCTACTAAAAATACAAAAAATTAGCCGGGCGCAGTGGCGGGCGCCTGTAGTCCCAGCTGCTCAGGAGGCTGAGGCAGGAGAATGGCACGAACCCGGGAGGCGGAGCTTACAGTGAGCCGAGATCGCGCCACTGCACTCCAGCCTGGGCGACACAGCGAGATTCTGTCTCAAAAAAAAAAAAAAAAAAAAAAAAAAGAAAATACATTTAAAGTGATTTTGAGCAACAAAAGAAGCTGCAATGTGAGAAAGAGTGTCTGAACAAGGTGGAGTCTGCCGTGTTGCCTGTCTGGGCAAAACCAACCACCATCCCGCCCATGAGCCTTGTCATCAGGCAGGTGTCATTCAGCAGAGACCAGACTGTGCCTCTCTCAGGATTATAGATGATAGGCACTGGACAGAATGATCGTTCACTTGCTCCCAAGTTAACAGTGTTATCAATAACATGGCCCCAGTTGTCTTGGTGCCTATCACTGTGTTATTGGATGATTCTCAGAAGACTTTTGTGACTTAATGAAATGGGAAAAGTTCCCTTATTCCCCTTGCTCGGTATAAAACAGGCTGTGGCTCACTTCTTTGGTGCCCTGCAGCTCAAACCCCTAGGGACAGCATATGGACGTGCAGGTCGTGAGGAGCATGGGCTCCGACCCCACAGCAGTGCCATCTAGGGTTCAGTGTTTGCAGCTCCCGAAGCCCCAGGGAGCTTATCGGAAGGATAAGGCAGACCTCTGGTCTAATTTCTGTATTCCAGGGTTCTTGCCCTAGTGTGCCAGAAAAATTGGATCACACGTGGGCTTGGAGAATGAGTGCAAGGTTTTATTGAATGTAGCTCTCAGCAGATGGATGGGGAGCCAGAAAGGGGATGGAGTGGGAAGGTGGTCTTTCCCTGGAGTTGGGCCACTCAGCGGCCGGGTTCTCCTCCAACTGCCTTTGGCTGAATTCCATGTCATCCAGCCGTGGATGACCTGTCAGCATCTGTCGGTGTGTTCTTCTGGCCGTGTGTTCCTCTCGAGGTCCAGCTGCTTGTGTGTGTCTACCTGCTAGGTGGGGAAATGGCGAGCCAGAGAGGTCTTGGAAAATGCAACATTTGGGAACGAAAACAGAAATGCTTGTCCTCACTTAGATCCATGGGCCCAGGCCGGAGGGTGGAACCCTCACCAGGGACCATGCCCTTCTCTACGCAGCACTTCCCCGCCCACTCCCATTTCATTAATGTATAATGTCAACATTTCAAAAGTGCTTTACCAATCTACTTTGCCACCAGAAGCCTAAGAGATTTTCAGTTTTATTGCATCCTAGTCAGCCTTGGGCATTCCCATGGTTTGTTCGGTTAAAATCATTAGACAAAAATCATGTGACATTTCTGAGACATTAAGATTTTTGTTGTATTTTTTTTCTTCTAATTCTCCAATATTGTAATTAGACAGCCGACTTTCCCGGAGCGCTGTTATGTCTTTTTGGACTGAGATGACTCAAGAAGAAATGTCCCTAATCTTCGTCCATCTCCAGACTTGGGAGAAGGTTGTGAAGAAATGTGGCTTCCAAAGGTAATCTACGGAGGTGAGGTCTGGGGGAAGTCCCCAGAACCTGAGTTCTGTAAGGGCAGAGAACGGACTGTTATGCTTATGGCCACAATCCCAGCATCTAAAACGGTGTCTGGCACAGACCCGGCACTCAATGAGTATTTGGGTTTTGTTTTGTTTTGTTTTGTTTTGTTTTGTTTTGTTTTGAGACAGAGTCTCTTCTCTGTCACCCAGGTTGGAGTGCAGTGGCACGATCTCAGCTCACTGCAGCCTCTGCTTCCCTGGTTCAAGTGATTCTCCTGCCTAAGCCTCCTGAGTAGCTGGGATTACAGACGCCTGCCACCACGCCCGGCTAATTTTCATATTGTTTGTAGAGATGGAGTTTTGCCATGTTGGCCAGTCTGGTCTTGAACTCATGACCTCAAATGCTCCACCTACCTCGGCCTCCCAATGTGCTGGGATTACAGATGTGAGCCACCACGCCTAGCCGTCAATGAGTATTTGAATGAAGGAATAAAATCTGATTGTTAATATCCAGATCTGTAGCCACCTTCATAGGATGAAACTACAAATGGGTTCCAACCAAGTTGGCTGACGCGTTGCTCATGTTGTCTCATGTGCAATTGGAGATATGCAAAAAAGGGGAAAAACGTACACATCCGCATAAAAAATATCTTAGTAAAAAAAAATGTAAAACCTTTGGTAAGTGCAGGCACGGTGGCTCATGCTTGTAATCCCAGAATTTTGGGAGGCTGAGGTGGGCGGATCACTTAAGGTCAGGAGTTCAAGACCAGACTGGCCAACCTGGTGAAACCTCGTCTCTACTAAAAATACAGAAATTAGCTAGGTGTGGTGGAGCATGCCTGTAATCCCAGCTACATGGGGGGGCTGAGGCAGGAGAATTGCTTGAACCCGTGAGGCAGAGGTTGCAGTGAGCCAAGATCGCACCACTACTGCACTCTAGACTGGGCGACAGAGCAAGACTTCATCAAAAAAAAAAAAAAAAAAATCTTTTGGTAATAGTAAGTACATTGTATATGGATAGATGCCCAGACACATGGCTTAGAGGGCAATGGAATCCTAGAAGCAGAATTTGCTGGTTTTCTTCCAGTCCAGGAATATTCCTTCCTGGGTCTGCCTTCACCCTTTCCCAACCCATGACAATGTCTGAGTCTTGCCTTGAGATCCAAGGTCCTGGGACGTGCCTTTCTATTGCCTTGGCCTGGGCGTTCAGACTCTCCCACAGAGCTCGGCTGCAACAATAGACTCACAACAGACTCTGCTGCCTAACAGAGGCTGCACTTAACTCTTGCCAAAGTGTCCATAGGTTCTCTAAAGTGGGTTGCAATGCTCCAGCAATTTATAGCAGCCAAGCGCCTAAAGATAAATTCTTCATGCGTCATGCAAATGGATTGCTTGCGCTTTCAGGCACAGGTACAGTCATTCACTTCTCTGTGTCCTTGGCCCAGCCTCCCTCTACTGTTCTCTCTCCCACCTCTGCTGTCAAGATTTCCCCCTAAGGCTCTTGTCAAGTCTGGGAAAGCTCCCAAAAAGGGCATTGACTTTTCAAGCACAGGCACAACCATTTTACTTATCCGTGTCCTTGACTTTGGCTACTGGCCGACGCATGCTGCGTGGACCGGAGTTAACAGGGGCCCTTCCTATGTGCTTGTACAATGTTCACCTCTCCTCCTTTGGTAAAGGGAGAAGGATGATTTTTCGTATCTCGGGGAAAATCAGCCAGTGGTTGAGGCAGGCTGGAGGCTTCAGGAGACGGAGTTTCCCTCTTGTCGCCCAGGCTGGAGTGCGATGGCGCAATCTCGGCTCACTGCAACCTCTGCCTCCCAGGTTCACGCGATTCTCCTGCCTCAGCCTCCCAAGTAGCTGGGATTACAGGTGCCTACCACCACACCTGGATAATTTTTGTATTTTTAGTAGTGACGGGGTTTCACCTTGTTGGTCAGGCTGATCTCGAACTCCTGACCTCAAGTGATCCGCCCACCTAGGCCTCCCAAAGTGCTGGGATTACAGGCTGAGCCACTGCGCCCAGCCCTAGGTTCTTAGCCTAACCCCGCCACTAACTCAATTGTTATCAGGGAATGTCCCTCCTTTTTGGAGCTGGTTTACTCCTCTGTAAATGAGGGACTGGGCTCATTGATGGCAAAAATGTGGCAGATTACTGTTTATCTTCTGTGTTGCGCCTAGACGGCGCCCACTAGGTCACAGCATCACTCTTTCCCAAAGAGCCTAGATGCGGCACTGTGATTCTCCTGTGCTTTAGACACCCTCACTAACAATAGCGGGGAGGTTATGCCTCTGCCATCTGTGTACCAGGCGACCTGGAAGGGCTTCCAGCTCTAACATCTCATAGTTCTAAAACTTAGGTTGGAGAGGGGGCACTGAAATCCTAGGTTTACAGAGATGTTCACTTTAAACCCCGATGAAGTCCTTTCTTAAAAGAGTGACTTGAAGACGAGGAAGGATGTCAGAAGGCCCCTCCCGCTTCCCCCAGGAGGGAGGAGGGAGGGACCCAGGGCTGGTCCACTTGAGGCTGCTAATGGCCTTGGCTAGGGAGCAGAGGATTCTAAGTCCATTGTCCACAGTTCCTTTCAGGCCTTGGGGTTCCTTAGTCCAAGTACGGTTTGCCCACAGCCTTGCATCCTTTCCCATAGACCCTCTCTCACTATCCATCAAACCCAAGCCAAGTCTGTTGTAGATGCTCCATTAGGAGACAGGCCAGAACCAACCTAGGGAACATACAAGTCAGACCGTGTTACGTGCTGTAGAAAGTCACACACACATAGTCCAGCAATACCCACGGTGGGAGTCCCAAATTCCATAAGATAAAGGTTCTTAAGAACAGTGATTCTCAAAGGTCCTGCATAACTCTGAAGTTCCAGATACTGAGCCAAAATGATTCAACAGGAAAACTGAATGGCGATTCTTTTTTAAAATTACAGGAAAAGTTTGGAGAGAATTTTCCCAGTTGTGCGTTTTTTCCCTTTTCCTCATTTTTTCTTAAGATTTACAAGCTTCAGTCACTTGCCCGTTAACAAGTGGCCGGAGTAGATCTCACTGTTTCTAAGTATGACCACACTTTTGTTAAAAGTCTACTTTGGGCCGGGCGCAGTGGCTCATACCTGTAATCCCAAAACTTTGGGAGGCCGAGAGGGGGTGGATCACTTGAGGTCAGGAGTTCGAGACCAGCCTGGCCAACATGGCAAAACCCTGTCTCTACAAAAAATACAAAAATTACCCCGGCATGGTGGTGCCTCATGCCTGGCTACTCGGTAGGCTGAGGCAGGAGAATGGCTTAAACTCGAGGCGGAGGTTGCAGTGAGCCGAGATCGCGCCGTTGCACTCTAGCCTGGACAATAGAGTGAGACTCCGTCTCAAACAAAAAAAATCTACTTTGTTTTCAAAATATTCAACACTGTCCAACTGAATGACAGTTAGCCCTCTCCCGTGGAAGGGGGATATGTGGTTGTCTTCTTGGAGATCCTCAAACTTTTGCTTTGGAAATGTAGACTCTTTTACTAATTTTTAAAAATGATCATACATGCATATGACACAAAAGCTAAGAGGAACAAAAGGGCAAATAGTAAAAAGTAAGTGTCACAAGGTGTGGTTGCATGTGCCTGTAGTCCCAGCTGCTGGGAGCATCACTTGAACCCAGGAGTTTGAGGCCAGCCTGGGCAATATAGTGAGACCCTGTCTCAAAAAAAAAAATGAGTCTCCCCTTAAATCCTATTTCCGGATGTCCCAGGTTCCCTGCCCAGAAGCAACCACAATTTTCAAGCAAACGTATTTTTAAAAAAAAAAAAAGAAAAAGAAAAAGAAAGAAGATCAAGGCATCTGCTCTGTATACTTTTGGTACTGTTTTTTAATCAAATTAGTCACAACTTGTTATATATGTATAAATTATACATGTATACATGTACATATGTCTTTTTTAGGAAAAGACTTGGTGACAAAAGTCAGTAAAGCTTTTAAGTTACATTTTATTCATAACGTCAGTATCCCCATACATTTATTTTATTAATTTTTTTTTTTTTTTTGAGACTGTTTCACTGTTGTTGCCCAGGCTGGAGTGCTATGGTACGATCTCGGCTGAGTGCAACCTCTGCCTCCTAGGATCAAGCGATTCTCCTGCCTCAGCCTCCTGAGTATCTGGGACTACAGGCGTCCACTACCATGCCTGGCTAATTTTTGTATTTTTAGTAGAGATGGGATTTCACCATGTTGGCCAGGCTGGTCTCGAACTCCTGACCTCAGGTGATCCATCCGCCTCGGTGTCGCAAAGTGCTGGGATTACAGACACAAGTCACTGTGCCTGGGCTGGTATCCACATACATTTAGAAGAGAGCTGTTTGTGGATGAATGGAATAGTAAGCCACCAGCCTGGGCCTTCATAGGGGTAGTTCCAACTGTGCTCCTGCTCAAAACACATGGCCACCCCCACCCAGGGCTCCAGGCCAGAGTGGACCTTCTGTCCGTCTGTCTGTCTGTCTGTCTGCTGCCCACACTGTAACAGCCCAATGGGTTCATTTTGCCCTCTGCCCAGATAGAGTTGATTTATCAAGACAGGGGAATTGCAATCAAGAGTTTAATTCATGCAGCGCCAGATGAATGGGAGACTAGAGTTTTATTATTAAGTCAGTTTCTCCAAAAATTCGAGGAGTGGGTTTTGTTGTTGTTGTTGTTGTTGTTGTTGTTTTTAAGACCAAGTCTCACTTTGTCGCCCAGGCTGGAGTGCAATGGCACAATCTCGGCTCACTGCAACCTCTGCTTCCTGGGTTCAAGCAATTCTCCTGTCTCAGCTTCCCAAGTAGCTGGGACTACAGGCGCCCGCCACTACGCCCAGCTAACTTTTGTATTTTTAGTAGAGACAGGGTTTTACCATATTGGCCTGGCTGGTTTTGAACTCCTGACCCTGTGATCCGCTCACCTGGGCCTCCCAAATGCTGGGATTACAGGCATGAGCCACCACGCCTGGCCAGGACTGGTTTTTTTTAAAGGATAATTTGGCAGGTAGGGGTCCAGGGAGTGAGGAGTACTGATCGCTGGGGTTGGAGATGAAATCATAGGAAGTCGAAGTCGCCATCTTGCACTGAGCTGGTTCCTGGGTAGAGGCCGCAAGACCAGATGAGCCAGTTTATCAGTCTGGGTGGCGACAGCTGAACCACTGAGTGCAGGGTCTGAAAAATATCTCAAGCACTCGTGTTAGGTTTTCTAGTAGTGATGTTATGTCGAGGAGCAACTGGGGAGGTTTAGAATCTTGTGGCCTCTGGTTGAATAACACCTAAATTATAATTTCTAATATTATGGCTAATTTTTTAGTCCTATAAAGGCAGTCTGGTCCCTAGGCAAGAAGGGGGTTTGTTTCGGGAAGGGGCTGTTGTCATCTTTGTTTCAAAGTTAAACTATAAACTAAGTTCCTCCCAAAGTTAGTTGAGCCTATGCCCAGAAGAAAGAACAAGAACAGCTTGGAGGTTAGAAGCAAGATGAAGCCGGCTAGGTCAGACCCCTTTCACTGCCATAATTTCCCCACTGTTAGAATTTCTGCAAAGGTGGTTTTGACATTATACCTCGATTCCCAGGGCTCTGCCTCCTGCACACATTTTAGTACTCAGATTACCTCGATGTCTTTAGCCTCACTGGTGAACCTGTGCCGAGTTGGAAAATTAACAATTTGATGTCAACTGTCCACAGTGATGAGGCTGATATGCTGTCCTGTGTTCTGTTTGAAGAACTGATGCGATGTGACAAAGATTCCGTGCCAGATGGGTATCTGTCAGAGGAGGAAAAACTGTTTCTCTCATATTTTCCTTTGCACAAATTTGAGCTAGAACAGAACATCAAAGAACTTAACATCCTTGCGGACCAAGTTGACACCACTCACAAGTTGCTGACCAAGACCAGCCTGGTGGCCAGCTCTTCCGGGGCTGTTTCTGGGGTCATGAGCATCCTGGGTTTGGCCCTAGCACCTGTGACAGCAGGAGGCAGTCTCATGCTCTCAGCAGCTGTGACAGGGTTGGGGGCAGCAGCTGCCATCACCAACATAGTAACAAATGTTTTAGAAAATAGGAACGATTCAGCAGCAAGAGACAAAGCCAGCCGACTGGGGCCTCTGACGACATCACATGAGGCTTTCGGAGAAATAAATTGGTCTGAAATCGGGGCTGCTGGCTTTTGTGTTGATAAGTGTGTAAAAGCCATCAAGGGCATCAGGGACCTTCGTGCCTACCAGGTGGCCAAAGCCAACGTTCATGGCTATGGTCAAGAATTTTGTGGTCACAAGACACATCCCTTTCTGGAGGGCTAGAGGGGTGCAGAGAGCCTTTGAGGGCACAACGCTGGCCATGACCAATGGTGCCCGGGTGATGGGTGCTGCTGGGGCTGGCTTCTTACTTCTGAAAGACATGAGCAGCTTCCTGCAGAGCTGGAAGCACCTGGAGGATGGGGCAAGGACGGAGACAGCAGAGGAACTGAGGACACTTGCTAAGAAGCTGAAGCAGGACCTGGACTGGCTCACTGAGCGCCACCGGCACCTGCTACAGAAGGCAAGCCGGACCTGTTCCAGCTGCTGGGGAAGGGCTGTTCGAGGATCCCGTGTGGTTAAACCAGAAGGTAGGAAGGCAGCAAATAACACAGATGTGGTCTTGCTCTTCTAAAAGCTTAGCATGGGGGTGGGGGGTGAGGAATGCTAAACAAACGGACACATCAATGCATAACTACAGCTGTCCTTTCTTCAAAGAGAGGACTTGCCCCACACCCCTGACATTAACTAGCTGCCCTCAGTTCTTCCCAGGATTGCATTCTCTTCTCTCAAAGCCCTGACCATAAATAACCATAAATTCTTGAAATCCCATATGTGTGTGTTTGTGGGGGTGCTTCCTGTCTGCCTCTCCTGTGGTCTGCAGGCTCCAGCAGGGAAGGATAATTTGGTGAATAGGGGTCCGGGGAGTGAGGAGTGCTGGTTGCTCGGATTGGAGATGACATCATAGGAAGTCGAAGTCACCCTCTTGCGCTGAGCCGGTTCCTGGGTAGAGGCCACAAGACCAGATGAGCCAGTTTATCAGTCTGGGTGGTGACAGCTGGGCCATTGTGTCCCTCTTGTCCATACCAGTATCCCCAGCACCTAGCAGTGCTTGGCACGTAACCAGTGTGCCAATGACATGAATGTGGCATTGCATGATAAAAATGACACTTCCAATGAGTTGGGAAAGGATTTTTATTTGAAAGATAGTTTATAGTACTAGACTTTCCTATGTAGAGAAATTAAATTCCTAGATATGAAAACTGAAACAAGAAAACTGCTACCAAAAATAAAGGAGAATTTCGAGATTAATGTTTAATAGAACGACGGGTGGCAAGGTCACAAACTGAAACCTGGGAAAGGGGCACGTAAGTCTTTGCCGAAGATGTGAAGGCTCAAACATTCATTCACTCATTGTCCATTCAACAGATTTTCGTTAAATGGAGCCTGTGTTGGGCTGAGGATTTCCGAGATGGCTCCAAATGCGTCTGCATGTTGGAATTATCTGGAAACTGCAAAAAATACTGACAAGTGGGTGGGTCCCCCACTTGTCCACCCCCGGGGACTGGGCTTTAGTTGGTCTGGTATATGACCTGGACTTTAGACCTTTTTTTTTTTTTTTTTTTTGAGATGGAGTCTTGCTCTGTCGCCCAGGCTGGAGTGCAGTGGCACAATCTTGGCTCACTGCAAGCTCCGCCTCCCGGGTTCACGCCATTCTCCTGCCTCAGCCTCCTGAGTAGCTGGGACTACAGGCGTCCACCACACCCAGCTAATTTTTTGTATTTTCAGTAGAGACGGGGTTTCACCATGTTAGCCAGGATGGTCTCGATCTCCTGACCTTGTGATCCACCCACCTCGGCCTCCCAAAGTGCTAGGATTACAGGTGTGAGCCACCATGCCTGGCCGACTTTAGACATTTTTAAAGATCTCCAGGTAATTCTGTAGTGCAGCCAAGTTTGGGATCCACTCTCCTGGGGCAGGAGGGGTTCTCTTCTTATCCTCTCAAAACCGATAGAGTTTTGCTCTCTGGGGACATATTTGAGCTTCTGAACATCCAGGGCAGATCGCTTTCTTGGAAGCTGTGAGACGCAGAGACTCATGTTCCACAGGGTCTCGCTCACCTCTCCCCTGGCTTGTCGTGGAGCACCAGCCTAGTCTGGTCCCTGGTGGGGCACTGAGAACACCAAAGAGGACAGTCTCTGCCCCAAGGACACTTGGCCACCGGCCAGCCCCACCAGCACCAGGCCCCGGGAAGACACAGTGAGAAGAGGTAAGTGGGATGCAAGCAAGCCAGGAGCTGTGGGAACCCCTGACAGTGAAGTAACCCCTCCTTGGGTGGGCGGGCCTTGGAGAAGGGAAGGGAGGGCCTAACGGGGAGAGGGGCTGCTGCTACCTTTCCATCTGGCACCTGCCACGCCACCTGGTGCCTTTGCCAGTCATCTCACGGAGCTCTCTCTGTACTTCCTGCCAGATGGTCCATTCGTTCATTCATGAAGTTAATGCACAAATCTCAATTGGGCACACCTCTGTGCCAGGCATCATGCCAGGCCTAGCAGTGAATAAGACAGACAAGGGCTAGGTGTGCAAAGTGAAGAATGACGTCGCCCAGCCCTGTAATTTCTGGGAGCTCAAGTGAACCCACTGTGGGATCCCTAAGAGGCTGCAGAAGTGAGTAAACTATTTCCTTTTTTTTTTCTTTTTTACCCTAGTCAGTCACCCTGTCACCATTGAACCTTCATTTAACAGAGGCAAAATGCAAGTCTTTGATGAAGAATAAGGGGGTAGGGAAGCTTCTAGTGGCAATGATAAAACCAGCAGCAATGATAATAGAAGACAAACCTGCAACAGTTTGTGGTCACCCTTGGGGACTCCAGAAATACCTGGGGTGGAAGACACATTTGCAAGAGACCAGGTTTTTTGTGGGTACAGATGGAGTTGGAGGCCGAGAAGACCTACATGTTCATGTTAATTAAAACTGGAGCTGGAACACATTCCAAACTCATGTATTTTCCAAATTGTATGTAACTACATAGTACCTTCATAATGAAAATGAAAACAATTTTAAACTATCACCTGCCCCTCCTTCCCCTCTTCCCTCCTGTCATCTATCGTGACTCTGCAGTCAACACCTTTTCGTGGAGACTGTTGCTCAAGCTAAGATCCATTCTCCATTCCCAGGGTCTTGCAATGACAAGTTAATGATTTGAGAAAAGCTGTTATTGGGAGAAAATCATCCCTTTACTGTAGCATAATTTATAATCATGAAAAATGTGAAGCCATTAAAATGTTCCAATGCTAGGGAACTGGTTACATACAAAATATTCATCCACTTGATAAAACACTAGGTAGCTGTCAGAAATGATGCTCCCTCGATGACTGGGTTCACGGGGAAAGTGTTGCTTGTATTATTAGGTGGAAAAGAACAGGGACTTTCTTACCTTTTACCTAAGGAAAGCACATCTTGCAAACTTGTGCATAGGAAAACAAAACCCTTCAAAGGAATACAGCAAGGTCATGGTGTGGCTGTTCAGGGGTAAATTTGGTGATGTGTTCCCCTCTTCTTTCTGCCTTTCTGTGTTTTTCAAGTTTTCAGTTACGCACATTACTGTTTTATAAAATAGAAGGAATATAGATAATAAATATTTACAGCAAATCTAAAATAAAATGTTTAAACACAGGACAAACTCGACCAGGCGCAGTGGCTCACGTCTGTAATCTCAGCACTTTGGGAGGCCGAGGTGGGCAGATCACGAGATCAGGAGTTCGAGACCAGCCTGGCCAACACGGTGAAACCCCATCTCTTTTAAAAATACAAAAAATTATCTGGGTGTAGTGGCACGCACCTGTAGTCCCAGCTACTTGGGAGGCTGAGGCAGGAGAATCGCTTGAACCCAGGAGGTAGAGGTTGCAGTGAGCCGAGATTGTGCCACTGAACTCCAGCGTGGCAACAGAGGGAGACTTCCTCTCAAAAAAAAAGAGGCCGGGTGCGGTAGCTCAAGCCTGTAATCCCAGCACTTTGGGAGGCTGAGGCGGCCTGATCACGAGGTCAAGAGATTGAGACCATCCTGGCTAACACGGTAGAACCCCGTCTCTACTAAAAATACTAAAAACTAGCCGGGCGTGGTGGCAGGTGTGTGTAGTCCCAGCTACTCGGGAGGCTGAGGCAGGAGAATAGCGTGAACCTGGGAGGCGGAGCTTGCAGTGAGCTGAGATCGCGCCACCGCACTCCAGCCTGGGTGACAGCGCGAGACTCTGTCTCAAAACAACAGCAACAGAAGAGGACAAACTCATAGTCAGCGGGTCTTCATGTGAGTGCACGCAGACTCCGCATCACGGAACAAGGCAACAGTGGGAGAATGGGTGTTTCCACGGAAGACCACTCCATGGTGTTAGCAATGGCTGGAAAGTGTAGGGAGCCTCCAATCCTAGGCATTGTTCTAGGCACTGGGGAAAAGCAGTAAACACAACAAATCCTGCCTTCACGAAGTTTTCATTCTCAAGGTGGAGGCAGGGGAACACGGAAAAGAAACACAGTCAATCAGTGTTACAGTGTATTATAAAATAATGAGTGTTGGTGAGAAAAATGGGTTTGGGAAGGAGTCATACGGAGTGCAGGATGGGGCAGGAACGCAATTTCAAATAGGCTCATCGGTGCGCGCCTCTCTGAGAGGCTGATCTTTCAGCAAAGACATGGAAGTGGGGAGGGTATCTGGGAGAAGAGCTTTCCAGACGGAGCAGCGAGGGCAAACACCTGCTTGGGACGTTCAGGGGGCTGCAGGTGAGGTGCGATGCCTGCGGTGCCGGGAGCAGAGAGAGGCAGGGGAATGCGAAGGGAGGGTAGAGAGGAGGCTGGAGAGGGAGCTGGAGGCCAAAAGGTGCAGGGTCTTAGAGCTACAGTAAGGATTTGGGCTTCTACTTTGAGTGAGGTGGGGGCACATGGGGGATTTCAGGCAGAGGAGTGACCTGATGGCTTAGATTTTAGGAGGATCACTTGCTGTTGTGTTGAGAGGAGACCACAGGGCAAGGTGATGACACTTCTGTTAGCAAGTGTCAGAAACAACCCTCGGGAGAAAGGATGGTGACCTGAACCAGTGTGGTGGCAACAGAGGCAGTGAGAAGTGGTCAGATTTTGGATCTATTGTGAAGGGAGAGCCCGCAGGATTTGTTCATGGACTGAACCTGTGGTGTGAGGGAAAGAAGAGCTGGGATACCGGGGGGGTTGTGGCCTGAGCAACTGGCGGGATGGAGCTGTCGGCACCTGAAGCGGACAAGTGGGAGCAGGGGTGGGGTGAGAGCAAGGTGCTGGGGGTGGACGTGTCACGTTTGTGATGCCCAAAGACACACGCAAGGGGAAGTGCCGAGTAGGTGATGAGTTCCATGCATCCGGTTCAAGATGTGGGGTCTCCAGCTCCAAATTAGTCGGAGATACAAATCTGTAAATAGATGATATCTGAAACCTGAGAGTGGGTAAGATTATCAGAAGAGTGAACACAGGTCCAAGAAATATGTCAAAGGCCAACCCTGGGCACCCCAGCTTGAAGAGAATGTGGAGAGCAGGGGAACCCTCAAAGGAGACTGAGATGGAAGCAGCCACTGAGGGAAGAGGGGCACCAGGAGCGGGTGTCCAGGACACCAAGCGAGGAAAGCCTCAAAGCACAGAAGCGATGCACTAGGCCAGTGCTGCTGATGGTCAGGGACAGGAGAATCGATGTGATTTAGCAACATGAAGACCACTGGTGGCCTTGACTAGAGTGGTTATGGTGAAATGGCTGAGGACAAAAAGCCTGAATGGAGGAGTTTTAAAAGAAGGCAGAAAGAGGCTGGGCGTGGTGGCTCACGCCTGTAATCCCAGCACTTTGGAGGCCAAGGTGGGCGGATCATTTGAGGTCAGGAGATCGAGACCAGCCTGGCCAACATGGTGAACCCCCGTTTCTACTAAAAATACAAAAATTAACTGGGCGTGGTGGTGCACGCCTATAGTCCCAGCTACTCGGGAGGCTGAGGCAGGAGAATCCTTTGAACCTGGGAGGTGGAGGTTGCAGTGAGCCAAGATTACGCCACTGCACTCCAGCCTAGGCCACAGAGCAAGACTCTGTCTCAAAAAAAAAAAAAAAAGCAGGAAGTACAAGCAATGTTTTGGAGGGGTTTTGCTGGAGGAAGAAGTGAGGTCAGAAAAGGAAGAAAAAAATTAAAGATGGAAGAAATACCAGCATGGTTCTGTGCTGATGAGGATGATCCAATAAGGAAGAGATGGTGGAGGAAATGCCCAGGGAGTGTCCCCCACCCTTTCAGCTCCCGGTGCCCGTGATGGATGCAGCCTGCACTGGAACCCTGTCTCCAGACCGTACATCCTGGCGGTACCTCCGGGCCAGCTCTGTCCCACCTACCTCACACCCTCTGCAACATGGTTTTTAGAGATACATGGCAACGTGCCAGTAAAATCTGATCTATGACATTCTGTAGGTAAGTTCTCCTTTTTCACACCAGGAGCTCAGTGTGGATGTGTAAGAATACCATCCTGGAGAATCTCCTGCTCTATCCCCTACCAGCCACAAGATTCATTTCAGGCAGGGTGCGGTGGCTTGTGCCTATAATCCCAACACTTTGGGAGGCCGAGGCAGAAGGATTAATGGAGCTCAGGAGTTGCCCAGCTGGCCTCAAACGTGGTGAAAGCCCATCTCTTTAAAAAGTACAAAAATTAGCCAGGTGTGGTGGTGCATGCCTGTGGTTCCAGCGACTCAGAAGGCTGAGGCAGAGGATCGCTTGAGCCCAGGAGGTTCAGGCTGCAGTGAGCTGAGATTGCACCACTGCACTCCAGCCTGCCCAGAAACTCCTTGATCCCTGTTCCCCTCCCCCACAAAAAGGGAAGACAAAATATTCACTGAAAGTTTACTGTGCACTAGGAACTCTGCTAAGTGCTTTCCCAGCTTCATCGAATGACAAATGGCAAATAGTTACGGAAAACTTAACAGTTTGCAGACACGGTGCTGAGTACTCTACACGTCCTGTCTTATCCTTGCAAAACACTGCTAAAGTAGGAACATTTGTTGTCTAAAGTTTATAAACGAGGACTCTACGGTGCAGAGCTGTTAAGTATTAATAAGTTGCTCAAGGTAATCCACCTAGTAGGTGGCAGATCTGACTTAGAACCCTCCAACTCTTGGTTCCTTGCACTTAACCACTACCTTGCACTGCCTTGGTTATCCTGAGGTCACACCACTAAAGCATGGGAGGGCTGAAATTCATACATGCCTGTGCTTATAGGCCTAAGGCAGAAATTTGAAGTTTGAGCCTGAGCAAGTGTTGCCAATTCTGGCAACACTTACTCTTAAAATGATTTGGAGATTAATATTTTCCACACATGCACATCAAAATTAATAGTTACATTCAGTCTGCACTTGGCAGGGATTTTTCACAAGCACTGATCCAAACTCAGGCAAGGGTCGGCAGTGCGTGGGCCAAGTCAGACCTACCGCCTGTTTCTTAAAGTTTTATTGGAAGATTACCAGGTCCTTCACTGACTGTCTGCAGTTGCTCTTGTGCTACAGTGGCCAAGTTGAGAAGCTGTGACAGAGACCGAAAGGCCTGTGCAACCGAAAATATTTTCTATCTGCTGCTATTCAGAAACAGCGGGTTGACCCCTGGTCCAAAGGATTCAAGACAAGCAACTTTTGAGGATCTAGAATTCTGGCTTTCAAAATGAGAAATTGCCATCTGTGGGGCGGGAAGCCGATTTCTGAACCTAGAAGGAACCAGGGGGCGATGGTGTTTCCTGTGAGAACACTTTGCACGCTTGCCTCTTTTCTGTCAGGGCCAGGCAGCCCTCAAGCGTGAAAGGTGAAAGGTTGGAGGTAGGATCAGTGCCGCCCTCAGGAGAGGCCTGGCGCTGGGCAGTCTTCCCTGTCCCCGCCCCTCCCGCCCCCAAGGAACTCACTGCCCCACTTTCCACGCGGCCTATTTCTCCGCCGGCAGACCAGTTCTCTCTGCACTACTCCTCAGCTTACCTGTGGATCCAGGCACAGAAACCATTCCACCTGTGTGAAACTGTGCAAGACCCACGGATCCAGGCTCAGAAAACATTCCACCTGTGTGAAACTGTGCAAGACCCGTGGATCCAGGCTCAGAAAACATTCCACCTGTGGGATCCAGGCTCAGAAAACATTCCACCTGTGTGAAACTGTGCAAGACCCCTGGATCCAGGCTCAGAAAACATTCCACCTGTGTGAAACTGTGTAAGACCCACAGATCCAGGCTCAGAAAACATTCCACCTGTGTGAAACTGTGCAAGACCCATGAATCCAGGCTCAGAAAACATTCCACCTGTGTGAAACTGTGCAAGGCTACTCCTGCCACTGTTTTGACTTTCTCACAAAATGGGGATGAGAATGAGGAGTTCTTATGAAGAACTCAGTTTCATATTTAAGTGAAAATTCAATGAGATCTCATATGCGAAGGCACCTAAGGCCACCCCTGCTACCTGACAGACGTTCAGCCAATGCTGTGCTTCCAGAAAGCACGACAGGAGACTGGGGAAGCATTTACTGACTGCTCTGGATGAAGAGAACCCTGGCAGGAACCCCGAGCTAGCACAGAAGACCCCAACTTTGGAGAACTTAGCATTCTGCTGGAAAAACCATTTTATGCTCCTGTTTATTCTATCAGGCAAACACTTTCAAACGCCAGCAAGGCACCATTTGGAAAAGGGGAGGCTCCTCAGCCCCGACTCCTGCCAATAACTGGCCGTATGCTCTTGTGTTTAGCTTCTCTGGGCCTTTTGCTCTTATTGGTCAAATAGAGGCTTGAACTATTTGAACATCAAGGCTTGTGCCCGACTCTACAATTCCACAACCTTGACTATGAACAGATGAAGAGAATAAGACGGGGGGAAGGAGTGGAAAGGCCTCCACTCAGCGAAGAAAGGCTCATGGAGCCCCCATGACCACTGGGTGCCAGGATCTGTGGGGGGCCTAGGGACACGGCCCCAGGAGAGCTGCCTGGGTTCTTGCTGGGGTTTGAGGCCTTGCTTTATGACCTCTCTGTGCCTCAATTTCCTGAGGACACAAGAAGCAAACAATTCAGCAGGGAAGATAGGACCTGACCAATTAGAACTGGGAGGTCAAGGGGATGTTGGAACTTAAGTCTCAGAACCCATGTCATTGTCCTGTCTTTGGAGCCTGGGATGGTTGTCCAGAGTGCTTGGCTCATCCCTGTGGATCACACGATTAATAATAACAATAATAAAACATGTATTGAGTGAATACTATGTGCCATGTATTTCTAAGCATTTTACATATATGAATTTTTTTTTTTTTTTTTTTTTTTTTTGAGACAGAGTTTCATTCTTGTTGCCCAGGCTGGAGTGCAGTGGCGTGTTCCTGGCTCACTGTAACCTTTGCCTCTCGGGTTCAAGTGATTCTCCTGACTCAGCTTCCTGAGTAGCTGGGATTACAGGTGCCCGCCACCACGCCCGGCTAGTTTTTTTTTTTTTTTTTTTGTATTTTTAGTAGAGACAGGGTTTCACCATATTGGCCAGGCTGGTCTTGAACTCCTGACCTCAGGTGATCCACCCGCCTTGGCCTCCCAAAGTGCTGGGATTACAGGCATGAGCCACCGCACCCAGCCCCTATATGAACTTTTAAAATCCTTATTCTCAAGTACAGACTAATACTATCTCCATTTGACAGATGGAAACGCTGAGGCACACTAAGCAACTCCTGCAAGGGCACACGTTCAGGAAGTGGCAGAGCCGGATTTCAAGTTTAGACAGCTGGGATCCGGAGCCCATGCTTTACATCCTAAAAGAATAAGGCTTTCTTAGAGCAGAGGAGCAGGTGGCACCTGCCTGTGATCCCAGCTACTTGGGAGGCTGAGGCAGGAGAATCTCTTGAACCCGGGAGGCAGAGGTTGCAGTGAGCTGAGATCGTGCCATTGCACTCCAGCCTGGCGACAGAGTGAGACTCCATCTCAACAACAACAACAAAAAAACAAAAAACAAAAAACATACGAAGGCTTTGCTCAGATCAATCCTAGTCCTGACTCCCATAGCTGGCCTGGCAGGTCCCACAGACACTGAGGGATGCATGGCAGCTCCAGGGCTCTGGCACTGGAGACAGAGAGCTGAATACAAAAGAGGCCTGGCCTCAAATAATTCCAAATAACGCAGCACGAAGCCAAGTATGGCCAGAATAAAGTCACGCTGCAGAGAGCTCAGAGGCAAGCGAGATGAAGGGGGCTGGAGTATGTCGGAAATGTTCAGAGAAATGGTCTTGAGGCAAAAGGAGGTGGAAGGACAGGCTGTGTGGGAGAAAGAAAAAGGGGATTTCTGGCCAGGCGTGGTGGCTCATGCCTATAATCCTGGTGCTTTGGGAGGCTGAGGTGGGCAGATCACTTGAGGTCAGGAGTTTGAGATCAGCTTGGCCAACATGGTGAAATCCCATCTCTATTAAAAATACAAAAACTAGCCAGGTGTGATAGCAGGCACCTATAATCCATGCTATTTGGGAGGCTGAGGCAGGAAATCAATTGAACCTGGGCGGTGGAGGTTGCAGTGAACCAAGATCGCGCCACCCGCACTCCAGCCTGGGTGACAGAGTGAGAGTCCTCCTCAAAAAAAAAGAGGGAGGGGGGCCGGGCCGGAATGCAATGGCTGGTGGCTGGGCCAGGGCATGTACTCCTACCTGGAGCCAGATCCAGGTGTAGGTCTCTGCCCTTGCAGACCCTGGTCACGTCCTAGGTCCTTGTGGTGAACAGACAAGGACGGCCCCCCCCTTGCGGGACTTACAATCTGGTGGGGATGGTCTTTGAGGTCCCTTTCAGTTTGGGCTCCTTGTTATTGATTCTAAGCCTGAAAGACGGTCTGAGGCCAGGACCGGGAGGTGCCTTCAATGCCAGGCTGAGGAGTTTAGAATTTTGCCCACAGACAACAGAAGCCGTCCATGGAGATGGAGCAGGAGCTCATCTGAGAACAAAGGTGTTTAGGAAGAGTGATCTGGCTGAGAGGGACAGAACCACGATCCTTGAATATTTCCATTGATTCCGTCATACCCTGGCTGCCTCTTCCCTGCATTTAACGTGAATTATGTTTTAGAGTAAATTGAGTGGAAAGCACAGAGCGCTCCCCCACACCCTCTCCCCTCACCCTAGACCATCATCATCCAGACCGTGTGGTAACATTTGTTACCACCGATGAACCTTCGTAGAGACATCAGTCCCAGCCTTTTTAAAAACAAGCTTTTCAGCCCGGCATGGTGATTCACGCCTGTAATCCCAGCACTTTGGGAGGCCAAGGTGGGTGGATCACTTGAGGTCAGAAGTTTGAGACCAGCCTGATCAACATGGTGAAACTTTGTCTCCAGTAAAAAAAAAAAAAAAAAAATACAATATTAGGCATGGTGGCGCACACCTGTAATCCCAGCTACTTGGGAGGCTGAGGCAGGAGAATCATTTGAACCCAGGAGGCGGAGGTGGCAGTGAGCCAAGATCACAACTTACACTTCAGCCTGGGCAATAAGAGCGAAACTCCGTCTCAAAAAAAAAAAAAAAAAAAAAAAGAACTTTTCTGTTCTCTGTCTCTCGGCACGCTTTGAGAAGACGGCAGGATCCAAAATCCTGTAGTGGCAGATTCCAACCAGCGTGCACATTAGGATCATCTTTGGCCTCTTCACAAAATCCAGATGCTCAGACCCCACTTGGACCCAATGAGTTGGAACCTGCGGGTCTGCAGCCTGGGCGTGTAAATGGGGCTCTGATTCGCTCCTTTGGTTGAGAACCTCCGATATTCGGCCTAGAACTGGGTCAGGCAGTCTCCAACATGGAGGCATCGTTTTCCCGACATGCCGCTGTGTGGTGCCAGCTTTTGTGACCACTTGGTCACAACTGCTCCTGTGCAGTTTCTGACGGGACTTAGTGAATGCACAGGCATTTTACGAGCTGCGAGGTAGAAGGAACTGAGCTCCCAGGGGAAGGCGGAGCGTGGGAGTGCGTGATGGGATCAGCCCTGTCCCTGGGACTGAGCATTTGTTTAGGCTTGATTTCCACCTGGAGAGACAAGTTCTGTTATCAACAATACAGAGTCAGCACTTCCGCCTTGGGAGGGGCCCACAGAATAGCTTATCTTTTTTTTTTTTTTTTTTGAGACGGAGTCTCACTCTGTCACCCAGGCTGGAGTGTAGTGGCTTGATCTCAGCTCATGCAACCTCCGCCTCCTGGGTTCAAGCAATTCTCCTGCCTTAGCCTCCTGAGTAGCTGGGGTTACAGGCGCACAGCATCATGACTGGCTAATTTTTGTGTTTTTAGTAGAGACCGGGTTCCACCATGTTGACCAGGCTGGTCTCGAACTCCTGACCTCAGATGATCCACCCGCCTCGGCCTCCCAAAGTGCTGTGGTTACAGGCATGAGCCACCGCGCCCGGCCAGAATAGCTGATTTGTCCTGACATCCTACAGATGGGGAAGCTGTGGGGCAGATGGGCAGAGATTTGACTGAGACCACACAGCTTGCTATGGCTCTGGGAGAAAGAGAAACTTGGCTCCTTGAAATTCAGTTTTCTTTTCAAACAATCAAAACCAAACCTGCATCATTGGTTGCCATCGCAGGGGCCACTGGCTACTGGGGAGCATGGAGAGGCAGCTCCTCTGAGCACTCCTTGTCCTCAACAGAGGCACAGACATGGAAGCCTGAGGCCAGGGCCACCTTTTGACTCATCTTGAACTTTTTGTAAATTCACCTTGTGTTTTAAATAAAGTCTCAGAGAATTATGTGTGGTTTCATTCTCAGACACTCTGCCTGTGCTTGTCATATTCCTGGCTGTGCATTTGAGTCTGTGTCTCTTTGTGGAACCATCAGTATGGTTTATATGATGGGAGCTCCAGCAGTGCCTCAGTGAGGTGTTAGAAAGCTGGACATGATTAATCTGGTCCTTTGCCCTCTGGAAGCTCAGTCTGGTGGCGGGGAGAGACATGTACAGAATTACCTAAGAGAAAATCCAGTTTCTCCAGGCTTTGTTTCCAAATGGCACCAATATATGGCTGCACGTCACCAATCAATGTTCATATGATGAATGGAGGCTGCGGACTGGGGCTGAGCTTGAGTCAGAGAAAAACACATCATTGCTAAAGCCTGTCAAAACAGGAAGAATTATGTAAGTAGAAGGGGTTTGAGCCAAAAAAAAAAAAAAAAAAAATCAAATGTATAAAGCATCTACTACGTGCTAGACAAAGATGACTTATCTTTGGATGCTGTCCATCTAGTTGGTCCAGAGGTCACTGCCTGATAAAAGGTCAGACAGCCACGTGCTACATCTGAGGACTATGGGTGGAGACCAAGGAATCAGCTCGACTTGCTGACTGTTTGCAAGTGGAGAGAGGTCCTCACTGAGGACCAGTGGCCACCCAACATGAAAGTAGAAACACACCTACCTTTAGCAAACTATTTTTCTTTACATCATTTTCTCTCTTTCCTCCTTAGGGTTTTGACATGGTGATTGCCAATTGTTGTCCAGCTTACTGACCGAGGGAACTGCTTGGTGTGATTGTCTCCCCCACATCCCATTCCTATGTTGATATCGTAACCCCCAGTGTGATGGTGTTAGGAGATGGGGCCTTTCAGGAGGTGATGAGATCATTAGGATGGTGCCCTCATGAATGGGATTAGTGCCCTTACCAGAGGCCCCACAGAACTCGCTAGCTTCTTCCACCATTTGAAGAATAGTGAGAAGGAGCTCTAAACCAGGAAATGGGCCCACACCAGCCATAGAATCTGCTGGAGCCTTGACCCTGGACTTCCCAGCATCTGGAACTGTGAGAAATAAACTTCTGTAATTTTCTTTTTTTTTTTTTTGAGATGGAGTTTCACTCTTGTTGCTCAGGCTGGAGTGCAATGGCCCAATCTCGGCTCACTGCAACCCCTGCCTGCCAGGTTCAAGCGATTCTCCTGCCTCAGCCTCCTGAGTAGCTGGGATTACAGGCATGCGCCACCATGCCCAGCTAATTTTTGTATTTTTAGTAGACACGGGGTTTCACTATGTTGGCCAGGCTGGTCTCAAACTCCTGACCTCAGGAGATCCACCCCCCTCGGCCTCTCAAAGTGCTGGGATTACAGGCGTGAGCCACAGAGCCTGGTCAACTTCTGTTATTTAAAAATTACTGTTTATGGTATTTTGTTATCAGCTCAAAGGGACTAGAGACAGGAACATAGGTTTTGAGTAGAAAGAGGGTTTATTTCAAGCACATTGAATTTTAGGAGCCTATGGGGCTGCAGCTGGATGTTAGTCTAGACTCTAGGAAAGCTCTATGAACTCCAGTTTGGATTTAAGAGTCATTAGCTTACAGGCAGACATCGGTCTCAACAGTGATCTTTTCAGTGGAGTATGGGAAGAAGGTGGCCTACAACTGAGCCCTAGAGGAATAACAAGGTTTAAAAGAGAGCTGGAGGAAGAGGAGCCTGCAAGAGGCAGAGAGGCCGCCAGAGATAGGAGTGCAGTGCTGGCTCTGATTTCTGTGGGGTTTCTACAAGAGCAGCACTTACAAACACTAGCAGTCAGAGGTTAAAGGCACAGACTCGGGAGCAACTGCCTGGGTTTACATCCTGGTTCTGCAGCTTCCTACTTATGTGACTTTGGCAAAGTTATTTAATCTCTCTATGCTTCCAGCTTCATCTTTTAACAGGAATAACAATACTGTCAGGTATGGGCTTTGGTTTCTCCCGCCTTAGAAGCTGATGCATTCGCCTGTTACAGTTTCATGGATATTGGTGGAAGACACAAGACTCGGTGAGAAGCAAAGGACTTTATTCCTCACAGTGCAGCAGGCAGCATGAGCCCCCGAGTCCCACAGGCCTGAATGGATGTGGTGCAGGTAGTAGGTTTGCACTGAGCTGAGGGGCACTGAGCTTAGAGGATCCACCTGTTTTATAACAGGTAGTAAGCAAGCTTGCTCTTTGTCCTGAGGGGATACAAGTTTCCTTGTTGCAAACACAACCCCCAGAAAGGGCCTGGGGAAGGGGCAATCCAGGCTTTGCATGCTTGTCAAACCCAGCAGGAAGGCAGGAGCAGGAGCAGGAGCAGGAGCAGAGAGAAGTGCCTCGGGGGCACCCGCCTCACAGAGCTGCTGGGAAGATGAAAGGAGTGAAAATGGGCAAGTGCCACCAACAGTGCTCCACACACATGTGCACTGTTGTTACTAGGCGTGGCAATGTGGAGGAAGGCAGGGCTGAAAACTGCATCACTTACATCCCAAATGGAAAACAGTAATTCAACAAATATGTACTGAATGCTTTCAACGCACCAGGCAATGGCGATACAGCAGCCAACAGAACAAAGTCTTTGACCTCCAGGTGCTTACGTTTTAGTACGGAAAGACAGACACCAAATAAACTACCAGGGGAGCACATTGTACAGGGCCTTGTAGACCAAAATAAGGATTTGGAACTGCCTACGGGATGGGAAGCCAAAGGACGTTTGCACAAAAACATGTCACAATCCGACTGAACAGGCTGTTGAGAGAACACACTTCAGAGATGGAGCGCTGTCGGAGAAAAGGCAGAGGCAAGGAGACCAGTTTAGAAGCTAAGACAAAGCCAGGCAAGGGCATGCCAGCTTGGAGTGGGTGGTGGTGGGGAGGTACTTGCCTACTTTGGCCTGTCACCGTCCAACACACAAGGGAAGAAGCCTTGGGAACACTCGGCAGTCAAGTAAGTGGACAGAGGAGCATCCGTTAACTGTCATCCTCAGGGGCTGCTTCCAGGTACTGGACGTAGAAGCCAGGCAGCCACGGGGTGAAGATCAAGTAATTGGAATCAGCTGGTAGAAACTTATTCCAGAAGTCTGCCACAAAAGAAACAACTTAGGGCCGGGTGTGGTGGCTCACGCCTATAATTCCAGGACTTTGGGTGGCCGAGGCGGGTGAATCCTTGAGGTCAGGAGTTTGAGGCCAGCCTGGCCAACATGGTGAAATTCTGTCTCTACCAAAAATACAAAAATTAGCCAGGCTTGGTGGTGCGTGCCTATAGTCCCAGCTACTCAGGAGGCTGACGAAGGAGAATTGCTTGAATCTGGGAAGCAGAGGTTGCAGTGAGTCAAGATAGCGCCATTGCACTGCAGCCTGGGCAACAGAGTGAGACCCTATCTCAAAAAACAAAACAAAAAAACAAACAAAAACCCAAAAACAAAAAAAAGTTCAAGGAATAACTTGAGATTTTCCAATTTTTAAAAAAACGTTTTAAGATTTAAGCACGCTTCAGTGCCAAAGGGACTATTGAGAGGAAGAGGCAAACCAGGCAAGGGAGGAAACTGAAGCAAAGCACCGAGGAGGTGGGAAAGGCTGGGATGCAGAGCGCAGGTGTGGGGTTCACAGTGATGTGAAGAATGCCCTTAACAGAACAAAGAGAGAAGGGGAAAGACACCCTGTGTGGGATGCAAGTCGGTTTATAGATCTGGTAGTGAACACTCATTCCGGGAGACTGTGTCTGACAACCTCCGTATTGTCTGTGAAACCGGAAGCATGATGATCTCATATGGTTAAGGGAAGGGAGTTACAGATTTATGGATTATGGAGAATTTCAGAGATTTGGGAAATATTGGCTGAGAAACAAAACAAACGCAGCAAGGGATGGGTGAAAAGCACAAGAAAAAAAGAAAAGAGGCCAGGTGTGGTGGCTCACGCCTGTAATACCAGCACTTCGGGAGGCTGAGGTTGGAGGATCACTTGAAGCCAGCAGTTCGAGACCTGCCTGGGCAGCACAGTGGAGCCCCATCTGTACAAAAAAATTCAAAAAATAGCCAGGTGTGGTGGTGTGTGCCTGTAGTTCCAGCTTCTCGGGAGGCTGAGGTGGGAGGATCACTTGAGCCCAGGAGTTTGAGGCTACCGTGAGCCTTGATCACACCACTGCACTCCAACCTGGGCGACACAGTGAGACCCTGTCTTAAGGGGAAAAAAAGAAACGAAACAGGAAGGAAAGGGCGAGGCAGGACATATTTTTTATGGCTGAACAAAAAGTGAGGGAGCCTGGGTGGCAGCCGGAGAGCTAGGGGCAGCAGGGACAGAGGAGGCAAGGCAGGAAAATGACACTTTGATAAGGTCAAGTGATAAGGGCAGTGTCTGTGGTGCAGTAAAGGCAGCAGTTGAGTCTAGGGGAGGGTGGACGGTGAAGTGAAGCTGAAAGATTTCAAAAGCAGAGGCACAAAATCAGCTTTTGGACAGATTGGAGTTCAGCAGCTGGGGAAGCTGAGAGCAGTGACACGGACCCAGCTGCTGGCCTCGTTTACCTTCTGGCTTATCGTCACCATTGAGAATGTCTCACAGAACGCCTGGCACTGTTCCTTCTTGTACCCCCGACCCCCACTTAAAAAGTCAAATCCAAGTTGTATCTTTGGAGCCTCAGGCAGAGGCAACAGGGAACGAGGATTAATACACACAGGCCCAAGAATGGTGTTTCTCTCTTTTATTTAAAAACAGTGCTTCATTACCATGTGCAAAGGCTGAGGCAGTGCTCCTCCTTCGCTTAGAGTTTATAAAAGCCAGCAACATGATCAATAATTTATACACATGGAGAGTAATACAAAAAAATAAGGAATAAAAGCTAAAGATCTAACTACTCCGACCTTCACAATTCCAGCTACTTGATAATAATAGGAGTAACCCAATGAATACTGTATGGTCTGAAAGCTACTATACAATATGATTCTTAACGAGAAGGGAAGGGAATCAGAGACTGTCACAAAGCCCTGGGATGCTTCTCTGGAGTTAGCAGGGAAACAGGACCCTGGGCAAGCAGCTCGGGTGTCCTAGGAAGTGATTGTGGGGGAGGCCGGGAGGGGAGAGACAAGGCTGGGTGGTCGATCACACAAGCATCCCATGTAATGCCCCCCTGCCCCAAGGTACCTGTTTTGCCATGGCAATGGGAGGGGCTGGAGGAATAGCATGTTGCATGTAGGGATGGTCCGGTTCCTGCCATGGGGAGTGGGGAGAAGAGGAGAGGTTCTGTGGCATTTTGAGCCTTGCAAAGATTTGGACTGAAAAGCTCAGAGACTCAGGCAGGTCAGCCTGTCAGGGACAAGTACACTCCACCGGCTCTCTTCTCGCTTTGCAGCCCTAGCTTACGTGTGTCAGCCCCAGGTTTGCTCCAGCTATTCACAAGCAGAATATAACACAAGAAAAACAATTCATATCCCTTAGGGAAAAAAAGAGGATCAATTCGTCACTCGATATATAATACAGCCAAAATGAGCTGCCAAAACAAGCACACACACAAATACTGTGAACAGAAAAATACAAGAAAATGACTAAGCTGGGAGTCTTGACGGGGTATGGACATTGCTTAAAGCACTTATCAGTCCCCGGAAAAACGAAACCAAAACACATGTTTTAAAAATTCAAAAACTCATGTACCCCCTGGGAAACTGGTGTTGGTAACAAAGGGCAGGGGGTGGGGAGAGAAAAGAGAATCACTGTTCCCTTCTTGCTCGCCAGTGTGAGTGCAGTCCTCAGGTCGCTGGCATGGACGCAAGTGCCAGACAAGGAGGACCAAGTCCCTCTGCCGGTGGCCTCCTAAAAGGCAAGGCTTGAGTTTTGGCTGCTAAGCAGTTCTCTCCGTTACCAATCCCTGCCGACCAGCACTACCATGGCTGAATTGATCTACCGTTTTCCTGAGTAAACTGTAACTGGCTACAGTTTCGGTAACATGGAAAAGAACTCAGCTACTACAGCCAACTGCAGCACTTCAGGAATCCCCTCCATCCCTGGGCGAGGCCTCACTCCTAGTGCATCTGATCGAGGAATTTGACAACTTGCTGCAGTCTGGTCTGTAAGCCTTGTTTGCAAAGAAAGGTGCCAGGGACTCTCCTACGCTCACCGAACCAGAGGGCACACGCTGGCTTAGGACACCCAGAGCCTACTTGGAAAGGGCCCTGTTTCATGCTCTAGCTCTTGGATGGCTATTGCCTGGCCGATCAGTAAAGCAAGTATGAAGGAAGTACACAGGAAAAGGAAAGGGAGGGAAGAGGCTTTTGGACAGTAACATTTCCAAAAAAATATAGTGTTTTATGCAACAGAGAATCAAGTTTCACTGTGTATACTACAAATGGTCAAACATTTTCAAGAGCATGACAAAATAAAAACACACAAATTTACGTCTGATGTTCACCTTGCCCACTATTTTTTTCCTATCTTAAAACAGTGCAAACAGGTAACTTATGCTTTTAAAACACCACGACCCCTTCCCCACCCCCCAAAGTCCCTTTCCTCCTAGTGTCTGGGGGAAAAAACCTGCAATTCTGCAAATGTCACTGTGCTAGAGGGTTGCAAGCAGCAGAGAACTGGCTGAACTTGGCAGAAGGGGAGGGCTCGCCAAAGCGTCCCCTTTTCCCTCCTTAAACATGTAAGTGCTTTCCAGTCCGTCCCTTGGTTGGCCTTGTTCTCCTGACAGAGGGAAGGGGGCTCATCATGCCCTTCTTGCATATCCTTGGGGTTGCTTCCGTCCCTGTTTGATATCAGTCTCCCTCATGTCTGGAAGCTATGTAACTAGTCACGGGATGGTAGTGATTAACCCACTTCTCTGCTGGATCTCTAGTAAAGCATAATTCTAAGCTAAGAGCAGTTCAGCCCCTGAGGAATCACACATTTGAGGAAAAGCTGCTATCGATGATTTCGAGCGTCTAGATTTCCACTAGCTCCCCTCAGACTAGAAGTGGTGCCCCAGTCCACTGCTTTCTCAAAGAAAAAAAAAAAATGTTGGCTCAATTCAGACTGTGGCTGTTGGAGGATGATGGTGATAGTAGGTTTTGTGAAACCCGAGAGGCTGACAAATGGTGAATCACAATGGCTGATCTGAGTTAATGGAAATTGAACTAAGAGACACAAGGAATTCTGGAAAATGCCTTTGGGCAGCTCTCTGGGCTAAAAGAGGGACGTGGAGATAAAGGTTTTCACTAGAGGCCTCCTTTAAGGAGCCCAGCTTCCAAGAGTACAGAAAGTCCAGGTCATGAACTATAGTAAAGTTGAAAAAGAATCATGCATGTGATTCAGCATCGGTGAGTTTTCTGGAATTACCAGCCAGCATCCTCTAAAAACTCACGAAATGCCAGACTCCTCTGACTCTCTTAATACAGTGAGAACCAGAGTCAGGAACAGACAAGCAGTGCTGCTTTGAGCAACCTGCCTCTGGTGAAGTTGACTGTGTGGAGTCTCAAAGTTCAAATGGTGATGGCGAGGTTGATACTGTGAAATCTAGATGCTTGTAAGAGCCCCAATTCTCAGTGTTGACACTGAAAACCAAAGACCCTTTCATAAAAAGCAGAACTCCATCTATTCTTTCTTAGAAAAGGGAGCTGGAGGAAGCGGTGTTAAACACCATCCCTGGAAATGCAGCAGAAACCACTGGAAAGCACAGAGCTTGCCTTTGGAGGCCTCAGCCAGAACCAGCTGAACTGAGATGCACTCAAGGTGCCTCAAGCTCAAGATTCTGCCTCTCTGAAAAGGTCTGTGGGAGCTGCCTTCTCTACCTTTCCTATTATCCTTACCTCTTTCTAGGAAAAAAGAAGAGAAAAACACTTAAACTCATTCTCCTATTCTCCCCTGCTAGGGATACAGCCATTTAGAATTTGGCCTAGTCTCCATTGAGTACGTGGCTTGCCATCTTTTGGGAATGGCCCCTTTGTGATCATGACCTCAAACTTTTGTTTTTTCAGTCAGCTAAAGTTCTCCCTCAAAGCAAAAGCAAAAGCAAAATCCTCCCTGCCCCCATTCCCTAGAACTGTGAAAGCCCGCATCCCATTCCCCGCTCCTCTAACTAAAATATTTATATACATACAACAAAAATTGTCTTAACAGCAACAAACCAAACTTTGGCTTGGGGTGGGGGGATCCTTAAAAATGGCCAATGGACTGGGCCGTTGGTGTCCCCTTAGTCTCCGTCCTCCTCCCCAGGATGAGTAATAATTGCATCGAGGCCTCTAGCTTCCTTGACATCGCCCCTAGTTTCAGGCACAGCCTCTCTCCCAGTTATGAGGCGAGACAGGATTCCGAAGGGGGAGAGGATATGTATTCTACGCGACGGGCCAGTGCCCTCTCAGACACATCACTCTGCTTACAAAGAATGCTTGATGCTGTCGTAGGTCAGTCATTTTAATTCAGGGACATGAGTCAGTTATCAGTCAAGAACGTGTGGAGGCAGGAGTTAAAAAACAAACCCAAAACCAACCCATAACAAACCAGAAGCTCCACGTCTCTGAATTACTCCCTGTAGCAGCTGTCCCTTGGGTGAAAGATCACCCTAGTACCAATGTGAATAGACCAGGGAGCCAAAAAGACCGTGCGTTTCTATTTCCTAATGCCTTCATTTGGGAAATGCTGTAGGACACTTGCTTTGATCAGTTCTCTCTAATAGCTAGAAGAGAAACTCTCTCTCCTACCTTGATAACACAGAAAATTACAGCCAGATGGCAACGGCAGTGACTCACTGCATGACTCTTCCTGGCGATACAGAAGACCCTTGCCATTTCAGACCCTCCTGCCAATATGGGAGGGCAGCAATCTCAGGGCCTCCGCATTTTATGTCCTGTAGTGTTAATGTACACAAAGTGGTCCGGGTGCTCAGCTGGCTGTTTTTGGAGGACAGTGAGAAGCTTGGCAGGACAGCCACAGGGCTCAAGACTGTGGATAGAGAAGTGACTCATAAAGGCTCTGGAAGATGAAAATTCCTATGGCTTTGGAGCAAGTACAAAGTGCCTCTGCCTGCCCTTCCATGTCCTCATCACCAAAACTTCCAGGGACTGCTGACCTAGGACCTGCTACTCTGTCTTTCCCCAGCAGATTCTTTATTCTGTTTTTTAAACTTTGTACTTTCTAAGGCAAGAAAAAAGAAATACCAGATCTTCTAATATTCCTTTTCTCTTCCTCACCCTCTTTAATGGCTGTGAACACTTTGTACTTCTAATCCTCAAGCGGTGCCCAGACATCTGGGGGAAATCTGGTCACTGGCTTATTCATCTTTCTGTCCCTGGGTCCTAAATTCCTGAATCTTATGGACATGAGAGCAGGATGTTAATAAAAGAATACATGAGCTAAGCTGTGGTTCAATTAAAGGAGAAGAAGCCCAGAAAGAATGCTAAGTTACAGGAACAAAAAGAAATGATCTTTTTCATACTCCAGAGTTCACTCCGAGATCGGTTTCCTAATGAGGTGTTTATTATCCACAGTCTGAGAGCACGTTTGGAAATATCAATACTATAATTCCAAAAACGATGCCAACTGTCTCAGGCTGTGCGTGTAAGATGATTGTAAAAAGAGTGGAGAAGACAGGAGGGAAGAGGAGAGGAAAGCGTCTTTTTAATTCTCCTGCTTTATAAGCACACATTCCTATCTATCAGCATGTGGATTCCAGCCACATCCAACCAGAATTGCCTGTCAAAAGACCAGAAACTCAGAAGACTAGAAGAATATCCTGTTGCGGAAAGATCTCTTCCACTTCTGCTTGTCCCCCAGCCATTCAGCACCAGGCACACTTTGGTAGTTCTGTCTGCTGATTTCTGATCAGATGCATTTATCAGCTCCTCATGCCTCTCCTCCCTCCTTGCCTGCCTCTTCCGTGACTGACAGAATAAGCTAAGCACGGACATACAGACATGGAAATGCATTATTTTTTTTTTTTTTACCACAGTTTAAAAAAAAAAAAAGAAAAAAATGCACAATCTTTGGAACAAAAGAATTAAAGGCAGAAATTTAAAGGAAAAATACATATTCAAAGAACATAGTGAGGTATAAAAAAGTATTCTTTCTTTTTTTGTGTTTTTTGTTTGTTTGTTTGTTTTTCCTCTTCATCTTGCTATAGAGTTCCTCTACTAGTAAATATTGCAATAGCCAGGCCTCATGAACTGGGGGGCTGTCCCATTTGCAGGGGTCTCACGTCACTTCAGTAGGGGGCAAATCGGCTGTAGCCACCTCGGTATAAACTCGCCTGCAGTAATTAAAGAGATAAAAATAATTAAAAGGTTGATGAGAGAAGCATTAACAGTGAAGAAAAATGTCCAGAGAGGGATTTGGAAACACAGCCTCCTTCAAAGCCTCAAAGCAACTGATCCAGCATTGCCTTGTGCAGTAAAGTCAGAAACCAACTGCTGCTTCTAAGGTGCTCAAACCAGAGCCCAACACATTTACTGCTGACCTGATATTCTCAAAGAGAGTATGACGACATTCCATTTCATCATTTACATGAATTAGCACAGAAGGGAAACAATATACAGTTGAAAACTAGTTCTGCCAAGAGTATGATTTTTAAAAGCACAGGTTTTTGTTTACCTTGATACAGCCTATAATCCTGGTGGAAAACACATCCCGTTTCCCCTTCTCACATATGACCCATCTGCAGTGCACGTTACTTCCGACACGATCCCTGCCACGTGCGGTCACAGCCCATGTTTGAGATGCTGCTGCATCTAAACCTGAGTCAGTCTTTAATAAAGTCTAGTTCCTCTATCATCTACAAAGCACACCAACTAGGCTGTTACTTGACATATTCACATTTATATATCTAGCTGGGGTTTTAACTAGGCTTTATTCCTTTATCAAATGACTTTATCTAATGGTTTATCTCTTTCAATTACAAGTTTCCCAGGAATGTATCTTTCTCAGGTCATTCTTTTAGCATAGGACCTATATCATTTTAGGACAAAATAAAACCTCAGGAACTTCCACCACTGCCTTTATATTGTAATGCTCTACTTCACTTACAAACATATATTCCCTCAGGGCCCCCTATTACTTCCTTCCACAAATCTTCATCAGTAGAAATCTGGTGTGAGAAGTAACTTCTTCATATTCCTTTAGGTCGTACATTTTACACTTTATTCTGTCTCCTTTTCAAACAACTCTGCCATGTTCAGAGGCAGCTGCCCAGCTGCATTTTGAATTAGAGAGCAAGGCTGGCAGAGGTGTCACTGTGGAACGGCCTACCTTTGTTGCAGCCTGTGAGTCCTAATCACTGAAACTGGAGGCACCGAAGCCAACACAATAATGTTGCAGTGAGGTGGTTGGTCAGAAGAAATTATGCTAGTTCTACAGACTTCTTCGATACTTTATCAAAAACACTATATTTTGCCACAGTTGTTATCAATAATCAATGAAATATCCTATAAAGCATTCACTTGGGCATTTCTAGTACTATCTACCAGAAGGCTCAGGAAGAGCAGAGACATCCTTTAGATTTGTATTTGAAACTTAGGTTTTTGAAAAGTTTACTGTGAATACTACAGCCTTATGTTCCATGCTCCTTTCCCAACACCAATAATGAAACGATGCCACAGGTATGCACTCAACATTTGAAGCAACAGAAAACACTCGCCAGTTCCCCTATTACTCTCACAAATGATGCCACTGCTCGGGGCACACTATCAGTGGTCATTCCTTTCTGCTGCCCTTAACTAGGCCATGTGGCTCACACTACAATAACATACAAATAAAGAGGGTGCCATGAATAGATCTGTGTGGCTTTAATACCTTGATGGTGGATGAAAGGCTAAGTTTACTACCTCCCTAGATCTTCTGTAGTCTATGGGTAAAAGAAGGGGTGAAATGGTTTTATAAAACAATGGTATATTATATACTTACCACAGCGCCAACTCCATAGCTAGCGGCAGGGGCAAGGGCATGGTAGGGGTCGGCTGTGTACACCCTGCCATAACTGGAAAGAAGAAACACAATCAGACAGATAAAAGTGTGTGATCTAAAAAAATTAAAGGGATTACTGTGCTAAAGACTTGTGAGTCACTTGGTCTTGGATTATCGTAAGGAAACTGGAATTACAAGGAATAGGAAAAAACCTTTCTATTTCTACTCCCAAATGCAATAACTGAAAAAATCTGAAGTACTTCTATAAAATGGAAACGAAAGGAATTGGAGATGAGGAAGAGAGGGACTGGAGTCAAAGTCGAAGAAGAGATGAGAACAAGAAAGAGGGAGCGGAGGACAGAGTTGGTGCCTTGTGCTTTAGGTATGACAAAGGCCATCAAGAGGTCTGCAGAAAGCCGAGGCTGGCAAGATGCCCGATGTGCTAAGAGCTGCTGTGGAAACGGTGAAGGGAGGGAAATGGGTGACATTTTGGGATGGAACAGCTCTCATGCATCCCAAAGCTCATCTCTGCCTCTGTACATACCCGTCGCTGTAAGCGGCTGCAGCGGCTGCAGCAGCGGTGGCTGCGGTTGCAGTAGCAGGCTGTGCATATCTGTAGGCTGCATATCCACCCTACAGGAGAGAAGAGAACTGACTTTACAGATACCTCTCCCCCCAGGTGTACAGAAAAACACACACCCGCCCACACACAGACGTACATACATGTAGACACAGGGACTGACACAAACATAGACACACACATGGGAAAAAAATGTTTCAAACTGCATCAGTCTGCATGTTGTTATTCCTCCAATAAAAAATTAAGCCCTACGATATGCAAGGATTTGCTTTCCAATTTGTGACAGTATTAAAAGTAAACTTTGGTAGTACCTGTTAAATACAAGCAATGAAGATATGATTTTGGATCTGTCTTACTTCACAGTCTTTGTTGGAACTTTCAAAAGCAAAAATATTTACAGCAAGTTGGGAGAACTCTGACAAGAAATATAAATTATGAAGTTAAAACATATGAAATCTGTATATGTTGACTTCAGATTCTCTAATGTGTTCTTGGATTGATTCATTACTAAGAGACCATAGCATGTAACAGAAACCTCTGCCCCATCCGGCCTAGCATGTTTGCCAAGAAGCTAAGATAATCAGGCAATATTTAGAAGGAAAAACAATGTAGATCAGGGGTCAGCAAACTTTGGCCTGTGAGCCAATGCAGCTTGCCACCTGTTTTTGAAAATACTTGTGACAGAGACCAATGTCCTACAAAGCCAAAAATATTGACCACTTGGCTCTTTATGGGAAGTCTGCCAACTCAGATGTACATTTCATACTTGAGCAAACCAGTTACAGATTTCTGAGGATTCTTTGGCTGGATCCAAATAGATCAGGAACCCTGCTTCTAGCATTTAACTGCATTTTCCTTCCCTAAAAGGTTTTGAGATCTTACATATTAATCTTACAGTAGACTCTGAGCTTTTCTTCCAATGGTCCAAATATCCTCTCAGTCCTAAAGAATTTCAAACCATCATATCCTTCTATTTCACCTCAGTTTAGGTAACTCAAATACACAAAAGAGAACCATGTATTCTTTCAGAAAGCATTTCAAGAGACAATCACAACAACAAATGCCACATCAGGCAGGATAATTTAAAAAGTGGCAAACTCTACTTTTTATTATTTTTCTTTTCCCTTCTAGAATTCATCTATTTTACCTAAACCTAATTCAGATGCAAATTTTTATTACTGGCCTTTCACTATCAAAAACAACTATGTTCAACTGGCCCAACTAAACATCATTTCAGTAGTGAACAATAGCATGAACATTTTATTTCTGTGGATAAAATGTGTCCATTTCTCATGGATATCTGAAGATTTTTGCCCTGTGTTTTCTACTTTCTATTTTTCCAAATGTTCGATTTTTTTCTAAATCTACAACAGAAATTTCAAATTTACTTCTGTATCATTTCTTGGGATTGAGAACAACTATTTTCTAATGGGATCCCTGCTCTTCTTCACCATCTTATGTGGCAGGTGCTAGCTTGCTTCTTTTATTTCTGTCACACCTTAATTTAGAAATACCAATAATTTCTTATGAGCTTCTAAAGCCTTTTGCTTCTTTCTTATATAATTTATGCCTTCTCTAAATGAAGAAACTGCACTGTGAGGGGAAATTTATTCCTGCTCTTCAAGTGTATGCTGCTTGAACTCAGGATAGTTTCAAATGTACTTTAAAAAATCCCTGACTGGCTTTCAGTGGTTATACATTATTCCTCCTTTGTTTTTCAAATGAGTGACTTAGAAAGTAAAATTTCCTTCCTAATCATGAACCCTTCTAGAGATATATGAAGACTCTAATTAATATTGCCAAACACTGACAATGAAATGGTAATGAATGGGAACATGGCAAGAAGCACCCTTGGGGCCCATTTCTGATCAACATGGTTCCTCGGAATTCTAGCCAGGTCTATGGAAATGGGCAGGCCAGACAGATCTGGGCAAAGCTGTACATCCTGGCCACAACATAATTTAACTAACTGAAGTATTGCTTTACCTTTTTTTTTTTTTTTAAAGCATTTGTTAAACAAAGCAAACGTTAATTACAGTTGGAATTTTAACACTAAAATGAGCCCTAGTAATTTTTCATTATAACTAGAGGTGGTTCCATTAGTTTAGAATTTGTTTGCTAGTGTAAAGTCAGAGCAGGGCTATTTAGTAAAACTTCTTTGCAAACATGATACTCTTTATAATGCAAGCATTATACTCTTTAGTATTACTCCAAACATCAGAGTAACATTAAAAAATTTTTAAAGTTAAGGCAATAAAAGCAGTTACAGCCCAATTCGTGTTTACCTAAGTAAAAACATTAAAAACTGAAGTCTTACACCATACGGCAGAGGTATGAATTCTTGCAAAGGGATATTGAGGTTCAAAAGTACTCATCCAAGGGCAGGTTTCACACCTGACTCTCAGGAAGACTGAGTGAGGTACTACTGGAGGTACGATCTTGAGTATTCTAGCAAATCACGGCTTTGAGCTGTATTCTACCCATTCTGGAAAAAACAGGTTCTAAGTGAGGTTGCTGGCAGAATCAGTTTCCCCTCATTTTCCTAGGCCTACAGGAAGCCATCGGAACCGTGGTGGTTTAGGAGTAATGTTATTGCTAACCAAAACAATTCAAATGGATTAGACTATGGAAAATAATGTTCCTTCCAATCCTGAAGGAGATGGAGAATCTATCTATAGCAGTTTCCTTCTTTTATAAGTCAACTCTGACTTTGAAGTTTAAACTTGATGAAGTTCTCTGATTTTCAAGTTGAAGAAAACAGAACAGGGTTGCAAATATTTTACTGAAAATATTTTTCAGTAAATATTTTACTGAAAATATTTTTCAGAAAAAGGCTGGAGAAGAATATCAGCATTAAGAAAAAACACATTAATAGTTTTTTTTTTTTAAAGCAGATGACTTTAACATGATTATTCTCCTAATTACTTTATAATAACGGCATTACAGAGAAATCTTTAAAAGAACAACTATTTTAGGATAAACAGGCAATATCCTACTAAACTAACTTGGTAATTCACTAATGGCTACTCCAAAAGTAGAAAAATTGTGTGTCGTGGATATATTCCTCTCTCTCTCTCTCTCTCTCTCTCACACACACACACACACCCATACAGACACACACACACGCTTACTCAAAAGTATTTCTGCTGCTTTATTCAACAAAACGTATCATAAAATGTAAGACAAAGAAAATTCAGATATATTTATTTCTATTCCAGATTTCAAAGTGCATAGAAATTTCAGGCTGAGAAACCATTTTTTCAACTTTCACTCTTACTAGCAATTCTAAAGGCTTTTATAAAACATGAGAACAAAGTGCAGTTTGAAACACCAAGGTTTTCATTACTGTTTCTTAAGTTTTTCAAAAAGAACAAGGGTGGGAAGGAGGAGGAAGAGACAGGGTTCAGGCGTGGGGAGGGATATGGCGCCACATTTATTAATCACATTAAAAACTAAGCATGCCAACATCTGGAGCTAAAACAACCAGCAAAATCACCACGTTCAGACTCGTATTGGCTAACTCTATCTATCCCAGCATTCTCTTGGGACAGCGGTTTGCCCTAGGCTCTACCACAAGCTCGGTGAAGTACACAGCCTCAATTACTAGAGCGTGCAGCCACAACGACCTGGTATTACGGAAACAGTCAGTCACCACTTGAGTTAACATTCCATACCCTAACGACTGGCCCCTCCCCAGCCCAAAGAAATAGTCAATCTTGCCCACCCTAACCCTGGCCCACACCACAATGTTAATAATTATAACAAGCAGTAACCCATCTGTTATATCAGAGAAGGGAACAGAGACTCCACTGAGAGATTTAGAGTGAGATGTTAACATTTCTTCAGCTGACTGCACAAACAAACAAACAAAAAAAGAGGAGAAATAATTCATTTGGAGATATGAAGTCATGAAATAGCTGATGTGTATTGCTTTTAACCATGCACTGATGCAAAACTGAAGCAACCATTAATAATAAAAATTAAAAAGGACATATGTATTTACACACAATCAGACCTGTTTGATCTGAAGCAGTTTGCAGATTCTATCTGTGTGTGATTTGAAATAAAACAAAAAATGGGGATTAGCATGGCCACAGCACACCCTAATGTAGGAGGGCACACACGGACGTCTTTTTGGAACTCTGATAGCTGGATAAATTTGGCTTGGCTAAGCTTGATTCAGATACACACATGCCCCTTTAAAAATAATTATTCTTATTCCTTCGCAATTCATTCTGAATGACACCTGGTATCCCCAGTGGGGCTGTCCAATGCTCCATCGCTCCCCTATTCAACCTGCCTGACACTGGCAATATAATTCAGTCCTGACCCACAGCACTCACATGTATGCTTGTCCTCTGTCAACAACGTATATTCTAGTCCACAGCATTCTTCTAAAATATTTCCTGTGTTTAGGAATTTTACTTTTTCACATATCTGTAACATATCTCTGACTTCAAGTTCCAGCTTCTTCAAAGGAAAATGCCTTTGAAAAGTTGGCTTTAAGATCCTTTCCAGTGTTTTCTGCAGTTGTTAAAGTCTCAATTTTTCATGGCTCAATGTCATCTCCTAGGGCTTTTCTACTCTGCTCTGAACCAATTTTATCACCTAATTAACTTTACGATGTTGCCACGTTGACCATATGATCTTTCAGCACAGTTTTGTAGCTGTGTTTTAATCTAGAGCAAAATACAATAGAATATAATCCCTCCTATAACTGACCTTTATCTGCATATTTATTAGTTTAATCTCACACTCGTAGACTTTTGCCTTGTCTTGATTTTAACCTAGCCCTTAATTTTATTATATTTTTGTTTTAGGTTTACATTAAAACAGGACTTTGGTGAGCATGTGATGTCAAGACACCTTCTTTCTACCCGGAAGACAATGACATTATGTGACACCAAGGAGGAGAGTGTGTATTTCAAGACCAGCAGACAAAATGAAAGCTTGTTACCTACATGTAGTGTATAGATCAATAGAGCAGGAGGGTTGGGAGATGGCGGTAGGTGAGGTGGGTAAGGAATGGCAGGTGTGATGCTTAAAATCACTAGAGCAGAGCAGAGATCTATTCCAACTAGAGTGGGTTTAATGCTGGGCCTCCAGGAATCACTTTACTTATCCTTGGATGATTCTAACTCCCTCTTTTTCCTCACCACCTCCCCACCCCTGCTAAGAATCATGGTTCTAGGAAATATTATAGAGTTCTTTGGTGGCAAAATGGCATCACTGATTAAATGTGAGTAACACAGAAACTTACAATAATGGTGATTCTGTCACTGCTTTTGATTGAGGTCTATCTCCTTTGAAAAGTACTTATGAAAAAAATTTTAAAGTATTTAAATTTTATCTTATTATTATTTAACATTGGGGTTAAGGGGAAAAATTGCTATGATCAACTTGATGTCTTCCACCAATTATTTCTATGGTAGATGAGAGATGATTTTCAATAAATCAAACCTTTCAAACATTATTATTCCACATCTCCGCAAATTAGTTCATTTCCAAAATCTTGCTGGGTAGCCACATAAATAAACTGGATTGTGAAAAGCCATCGACTATTTTCTTTCTCCTAGCATCCAGCTATCAGCAATCCTTCTAACAAGTATGCTATTATAAAAATGAACTCACTGATCTTCTCGGGTGAAAGGAGAAGAGGCCAAGGGAAATGCATGTCTCATTGTTTGAGTCCCGTATGTCTAGATTTTTAAGGCAACTTCAAACTTATATAGCAGCACAGTCCAACTACTACTGATATTTCACTACAGGGCCCAAGGTGGGATTCAGGAATCCTATTTGTACAGTTCTACTTCCTCTTTTTTCTCATTTCTAAATTTATAGTAGTAAGAAAATGTCCCTAACTGCTAAGATCTAAATATAAAAAATCAGTTTAAATACCACAGGTAAATGTGACTGACAGATTAAAAGAGGTGGCAGTGATGGGACAGTGCATATTACACAACTGGCTGGGATATGTGTCAAGAGGACAGGAGCACTTTTGGAGGAAGTGCCATTATGTACGGAATGTGACTGTGGGCACTGCTGAGGTAGCAGGGCTTAGATCACACGCTCACAAGTCTTGATTGTCCAAAAAAGCCTCTGTTCCCATCTCTAACGTGGAGCTGGAATGGTTAGTATAATTCAATTTTTTCACTGCAATCCACAATCTGATTGATTGGCAGGTCACACTGGCACTCCTACCTGAGGTATTTTAGCGCTAATGATTGGTTCCTGTAAGACTATTCTATAACAGAACACAGGAAGAGCAGTTCAAAAAACACAGCTGTGGAAGGAAAACAATCATACAAAAAGCCCGCTAAGGGGCCCACCAGCCTTTTCTTTCCTTTGGATGCAAGCATGCTTTTCACAGGAGGTGAATTAGGAGCAGTTTGTTATCCCATTTGAAAAGTGAATCGGGGCGAACTATGCCTTTTCTACTGGCCAGAAAAGAAGAGGGAGGGGTGGATACATCATCTAGCTGCCACACTCCCAAATCCTATCACGGTAGGTCTCTTTACAAACTAGGAACACAATTGCTAGATCAGTTCTCCAGAGACGAATGTGCCATCAAAGAAACAGAAAGAAAATGGCTAGCAGGAATCACTGTCTACGAATGGGACAGTGAAAGGGATTACAAAAGCCTTGCACAATTAATAGCCTAAATTCACTTCACTTAAGCATAACCAGCAATTTAAAATCTTTTCCCTCGTGTCTTCTCTTCAAGCTCCAATTCGGTGCACTTTTTATACTAAACTCTCTATTCCTTCTATTTCTAAGATGCCTTTCGGAAGAAATAAGAACTAAATGTGTACTGACAGATTTCCACAGATGAGAAATGTACGGAGAGAAGCAGCACAAACTCAAAGGCATAATGACAGCTTTTTGTTGTCTGTGTGTTTCTGAAGAAGTATCCTTTGCTCCCTCACATGTGGAATATAGAATATGCAGTTTTAAAAGTGACAGTTGTATTAAGCCTAACTCAGTAGTTACCTCATATTCTTGCTTCTCATGTGTGGGCGTGGATGTTATTTCAGCACTAGTGACCAACTTTTTTTCTCTAAGTAACTCTGCTTTAAGGTAAGAACTAAAAAATAATAACATTACTATTAATTACTTTCATTAACAAGCGGCCACTGGTCAAAAAAAATTATTTCAGCAAAATCACGGAATTACTTCTGTTTAGCTCAGCAAGGTAATCCAGTTAGTAGATTTAAAAAAAAAACCAAAGGCCGGGCACGGTGGCTCAAGCCTGTAATCCCAGCACTTTGGGAGGCCGAGACGGGCAGATCACGAGGTCAGGAGATCGAGACCATCCTGGCTAACACGGTGAAACCCCGTCTCTACTAAAAAATACAAAAAACTAGCCGGGCGAGGTGGCGGGCGCCTGTAGTCCCAGCTACTCGGGAGGCTGAGGCAGGAGAATGGCGTGAACCCGGGAGGCGGAGCTTGCAGTGAGCCGAGATCCGGTCACTGCGCTCCAGCCTGGGCGACAGAGCAAGACTCTGTCTCAAAACAAAACAAAAAAACCCCCAAAAAAACCAAAAAAATAAAAACGAGTATTTTAGTAACAAGAACAGAAAAATCATGTGTCTCAAAATCTTACATTGTAAAGGAAGGAAATAAGAGAACTGTTAAAAAAACTGGGTTGGTTGACTTAACAAGGTTGAAGTAGACAAGTTTTTTTTTTTTTTTTTTTTTTTTTTTTTTTTTTTTTTTTTTTTTTTGAGACGGAGTCTTGCTCTGTCGCCCGGGCTGGAGTGCAGTGGCCGGATCTCAGCTCACTGCAAGCTCCGCCTCCCGGGTTTACGCCATTCTCCTGCCTCAGCCTCCCGAGTAGCGGGGACTACAGGCGCCCGCCACCTCGCCCGGCTAGTTTTTTGTATTTTTTTAGTAGAGACGGGGTTTCACCGTGTTAGCCAGGATGGTCTCGATCTCCTGACCTCGTGATCCGCCCGTCTCGGCCTCCCAAAGTGCTGGGATTACAGGCTTGAGCCACCGCGCCCGGCTTTTTTTTTTTTTTTTTTTTAGACGGAGTCTAGCTCTGTCACCCAGGCTGGAGTGCAGTGTTATGATCTTGGCTCACTGCAACCTCTGCCTCCAGGGTTCAAGTGATTCTCCTGCCTCGGCTCCCCAAGTAGCTGAAACTACAAGTGTGTACCACTACACCTGGCTAACTTTTGTATTTTTAGTAGAGATGGGTTTTGCCATGTTGGCCAGGCTGGTCTTGAACTCCCGACTTCAAGTGATCTGCCCACCTTGGCCTCCCAAAGTGCTGGGATTACACACATAAGCGACCATGCCCGGCCAAAGTAGGAAAGTTTTTTTTTTTTTTTGAGACGGAGTCTCCCTCTGTCACCCAGGCTGGAGTGCAGTGGCACAATCTTGGCTCACTGCAAGCTCTGCCTTCCGGGTTCATGCCGTTCTCCTGCCTCAGCCTCCCGAGTAGCTGGGACTACAGGCGTCTGCCACCACGCCCGGCGAATTTTTTGTATTTTTAGTAGAGATGGGGTTTCACCATGTTAGTCAGGATGGTCTTGATCTCCTGACCTCGTGATCTGCCTGCCTTGGCCTCCCAAAGTGTTGGGATTATAGGCGTGAGTCACTGTGCCCAGCCCAAAGTAGGCAAGTCTTAATAAGACAGAAATAGATTGTATTTAAGAAAAAAAAAAAAATCTCCAAATAAGAAACACGTTAGAGAAAAAAACTTGATTTAAGAAATAATCCAAATGGAAAATCTTGCTCTAATAGATCAGATTTCAAGAAAACAAGTTAAATAACAAAGATGAGTTTCATGAGAATATGAACACTAATGTATATGGGAGATGTACATGCGACCATCATATTTAAGTATGTGTATTTAGAAATGTGTAATCTGGTGTAAAAGTAGGATAGATTCCCCAGTTCTCAAGCTTCATTGTGAACATAGGAAAAAAGATATCTTTCATTACTTGCTGAAAATATTTTGAGGAAAGAGGTGGATTTTAACTAAAGTTCAAAGAGAGGCAGTGAAATATGGACTGGTTGGGTTTTATGCCTGACTGTATTAATAATTTATGTAGTTCTGGGTAAGTCTCTGAGAAATATATCTATAATTTAGGAGGTTGGACCAAATCATGGCTAAGGTTCCTTCAAGTAGTTATTAAATTAAGGCATACCTTACAGGCCTACTCTAAGTAGTATGCGTGAGTCACCTGTACCTCGAAGAACTGTATTATCTCATCTCTACTTCCTGCAAAACACAAAACCTCTGAGTGCATTCTGAAAGTGCATTAACTTTTTTAGGTTGCTTGAGAATCTCTGGTAGACTGTGCAAACAGTTCACTAAAAAGGTCCTCTTATTGATTTTGGAAAGTAAGGGTGGAGAAAGCATTTCTAGACAATTTTAACCAATCCCCACAGAATCATTTCATGCTGACAAGTTTTTCTTATAAAAAATTTTCCCTTGATGACTTGAGTGACTAAATCAAGCTTGCATTCAGAAAAAGTCCATCTGGAGAGGTCATAATAAAATACTTCAAAACTCAAAAATTTCTAGTTTGTCAATTATATCACTTTGTCCACATTTTAAATAATACGTGACAAACCAATCACGGAACTTTAGTGATAGCTAGACAGTTTAAATAATGGAGTACATATTAATATGGCTAGTAGAATCAGCAAATCTTCTATGATAGTCAAATGGCTGTAAGAAGAGTCTGGGTTGCTGATTATGCTACTCATTTCCCCCAATGGCTCTTAATAACTAAATATCTGGAGTTTTCTCATTACTACACACTCTTTGCTGGCATCGGTTCCTTATTTGGCTACCACAAGGTCATATTCTCTCAAATTATGTAAAATAGGAAAATGATACAGTTCAGAAAGCTTATTAATCTCTACATAAATCACAGCTCTAATGATCTAAAGAGGGATGTGAAATGAGAAGAAAAGCAGAAAAGGGAAAGAGCTGGTTTAAGGTTTAAGGCTAAGCTGGTCCTGTTATTTATGTATGCAAATGACACGACAATCGTAAAAGACTTTAAACCTGCTGATCATCTCACAAGTAAATTAATGATCCACAGAACATCTGTGGGTATAGGGAAGGGAAAAGAATATGTCCAGTAGACTGACCCTTGCAATGATCAGGAAACCCAAAGGCTTAGTTTTTGCACCCAGGGGCAAGCGCAGTGGCAGAGAAGCATGCTTGCATTCTTAAATATATAAATATATATATATATATATCCACAAGGAAAAAGAAAATACAAATTAAATAAATTAAAAGGAAAAAAACCAAACCAAACCAAAGAAACAGAAAAAAAAGGCTGGCTTGTCAGGGGATGGGGTCGAGAAGGCCCCAGTGTGTGTACTTACATAGAGGTCAGCACCGTAAAATCCGTCCTGGTAAACCACACTGCAGAAAATCCACACAAAAACAAAAACAAAAAAAACAAAAGAACAGAAACACATTCCGGTTATTGAGGACGGCAGCATGCACATGCGCTCTACACAGGCAGGTGATGTATGAATACATAACCTGGGCTTGGGGCCTCGGCAAGTTGGTGAGAAAATGTGAAAGTGCACACGAAGGTTACACAGCTCCGGGACATGCGAGGAGAGGGAAAGGTGTGCAAAACTGGAATGCGCAACCTGGATATTCGGTAATTAAAGTAGGATTCACACAATAAAAAGCACTCCTGGAAGAGCCTATTTTATCTATCCAAAATCTGCTGGCTTGGAAACAACTTTTTGTATATGGAGTATTTTAAAAAATCAGCTTGCCCTAGGAGGAAGTTTCTTTTTAAAGAGCTTACAAAATAGGGTGGCGGGGTGAAGAGGAGTTTAACATGAAAAACTGAACCCAAAGAATTCCACTGGGGCAGGGCCTGTATGCAAAGTACGTTTTTAAATTACGTTTAAGTATTTTGTTTTCAGTATTGTAATAATACGTAAATGTTTTTCTGATATCCATACATCACCTGCTTTTTACCCTGCACATTAGACATGCGATAAGATTTGGCTGATCACACAAGCATGCAAAGTATTATTATTCAGCATTTTAAGAACCAATGCAACACCTCAGAAAAACAAGTCAATCAATTCTGACCAAAGTAAACAGAGAAATGTAATTAAAAAAAAAAAAACACAACCAAAAATACCCACAATGCATTGCTTTCACAAGCAGAGATAATGAGCTAAAGGTTAAGGTGATTGGTCCAAGGTCCAAGAATTGAAAGGTGCAGTGGGGATCCCAGATAGTAACAATATAATCCAGAGTGGGAAGGAGTAACTGGAAGATTTTAAGGGTTCTTTTTTGACCATAAGAGTATTCATGGAATTCTGAAAACTACAATTGATAACTGAAGTTCTGGGCTTGACCAAAGATCGCCCTGTCTTATTTAAAAGAATAAAACTGAGAAGGTAGCTGGTTAAGAATAGAAGGTTTATTTTCCTGTTTAGATAATGAATTTGTAGCAAACAGACAATGCATGACTTTTTCTTAAAAAAAAAAAAACCTAAACAACACTATATTCTTAAATACAGATTTCCAACCTTTTGAGGTACTTTTGTGCATACAGACTTCCCCAAAAACATTATTTTGGGACCAAAAGACATGGAATAGCAGTAGAGATAAAAGATAAAACTTTCTTCTTCATCTCTGTTAAGTCAAGATCAGATTGTTTTAATTTACATGATCTGCTTATTGGTTATTCAACTAAAAAGCTGGAAATTTTCACCACTACCTTCTCTGTTACAATGAACAAGCTGACAAGTAAAGTCACCAAATCATATTTTTAACTTGAATATGAAATAACTTGTTTCTTACAGGTAGGTGTAATGTTTCTTAATTCTATTTCCAATGAATGACATTTGGTTGTATTTACAGGATAGTATAGTCACATTTTGGAATGCCCCAAATATGCTATGCCCTTGTATCACACAACAGGCAAATCAAACTCATCTCTAATGCTCATTTAGCTAAGTCCCATTCATTTTCATAGTCTCCAGTTGCAGTTAAAGTCTGATATTAGAACGTAATCTGCCTCTCAATTGCAATTTAGTGAAAAAAACAACTTGTTCAAAATGAGAAGGCTGATAAAATGGAAAGCACTGAGGCCAAGTGGTGATTAATTAAACTTCAAAGATCTTAGTAAGGGAATATAGGTAAAGATTTACAAACAAGCCTTCTATAAAGAAGGGTTGGCATTAAAAACACAAATACATTTTACCTTAAGTCAAATAACTTATTGGGAATATTCATCTACATTCTAGAAGAATTCCAATATTCCCCATATCAAATGCCACAAGGAGGCTAGAACATAATGATTAATGATGAAATTAGTTTACTAAGCTGAAAAGCAATTCTAGGCCATTCCCATGAAATACTGGACTTATTCCTTGCCATCTTCCATGTAAACAGGTGGTTTAGTTAATAAAAAGAAAACATGGGAAATCAGTGTTCAATGTAATGCACAGAAATTGATATGATTAGACATAAAGATTAAAATATCTTTGAGCAAATATATACCTGACACAGACTTGGTAGAGAATGGGTTCTCAAGTTTGGCCAATATACTGAAATGACTACATTGAACAGGACTAAATTCAACCACTTTATAAAGTAATTCAGCAATGTTACAAAATAAGGAAGTCCCATGTTTCTGGTGAGTAGTCTCTCTTTGCAAACATGACAGTAAACTCTCTTGGATTACAATGGAAGACATTTTACAAACAATTTTCCTAGCGTGTAAAACTTCCAAAAGATTCCTTTTAATGTTTCATTTGAATACTTCTTGATGAAATAATACTGCATATTCACTTCTTTAAAGAGATGTCAGAGGTTGAAGGTCAAAGGTCAAGTTGAGAGAAAAAGGATTAAAATAAAAGTAAGTAATGGCATAAGATGGAGATGATGGAATGCATGTGATTTAAATGTCTACAAACTCCAAACAGAAGTTAATTTCTGAAGCAGTTCCCTTCCAGTGTCTTTTGGAGCCTGCCCACTTCAACATACCTTGTCTAATAAAAATGTTTTAACTCTGAGGAATGGAGAACTTCTAATGGTACGTCCATTTGGTCTATTAATGAATGAATGAATGAATGCTAAATTAGTACACCTCAAGGTTAAGCCAATTTTGCTGTCAGAAAAGGACATACAAAGGCGGCTCCTTTCCTTTATATTTTAACTAAGTAGCAGCCAACAAGCTTCTCTGCTGCTATCTATTCCTCCGTAAGAATACAAAAAAAAATCTGTCATATTGACATATCTGGCAGAGAAAAGATGAAGAGAAATGTCACATCTTTGATGAGGAAGTCCTTGGTACAACTGACTGATGAAAGACCACTCTTTATAAAAATTTACATTTTAGGCTGACACTGAGAAACCCCTAAAAACAAAACCTGCCGTCTTCACTCCTTTTCCCCATTCAGTAGCAAAGGATTTATTTGTTGCTATGGAATCATTCCACTGCATGAGACACCCTCCATAAAAAATCAAACGGTGAAGGATGCTCAGCTACAGTCGTTGTTTTACCATCATTCAGAAGCCAACTGCAGTTAATTCTTCCTACTTCTCCCTTTCTCCCTTGATTCAATTGGACTTGGTTCATCTTAGAATTAACCTCTTTTAATCCGTTTCCTACAAAGAAAGCAAATCCATTGTGGGTAACTAGCTCTGCTGCTCACCACCCAGGCAGTGAAACCAAAGGGGAGGACACATGTGACAGCCTCCGCCCCAACACGGGGTGGTGATAAGGGGTGAACACAGCAGATGCAGGCTTGTACTACAATCTCGAGCTCCTCTTTTGGTTCTCTGCAGTAATGTTAATCCATATTCGTGCGCTGCTGAGTGAACTTCATGCCAACACACTGCTAGTAAACACAAGACAGTTCTGGCTACTGTCTTAAGCCATTACCATGAGGGCTTAAGGTGGCCAAAATGAAGACTTATATAATGAATTGACAGTTTGTTACATTCTGATGATGGTATATTTTGGTTTTTTGTCATCTAATCTGTCAATTTGCAAATATTCATTGAATGTCTACTCTGTGACACGGCAACATCCCAGAAGTTATGAGAGGGCCATGGTATTCTTTTTTGGTCCAACTGCTTATTTTAGAAACATATTGATTTTGGAATCTAATGCTTACCCTGGATAGGCGGGGATGGCTGTTGGAGGTACCGCTCGGACTGCACCATATACTGTCCGCCCTCTGCCCCTCAAATGGGCTCCTCTGAAAGCGGCTGCCGTGGTGGCTGCAGTAGGGTAAGGGAAGCCAGGAACTAAAGGGAGACCCAAAATATGACAGAAATTTCAACTTGCATTCAATAGAGGGTACATAGTCACAACTTGCTATGAACCAATGATAGAAAAGATGAAAAGATACAAACCACATCTTTTTTGAAAAGGTGGCATGCATTCAATAAACCTTCTACCCTGGGTCTCTCAGTGGGGAAGAAATGGAAAGAGAGACCCCACATGCAAAAGCAAAAGATTCCATGCCTCATTCATCACAAATCTTGAGTGAGCTTTCTCTGTTCCTTCTCAATTTCGGCTTTACAATGCAAGCTGCTGAGAAACAGGTCAAGCTCTGAGAATGACTGCCATCATAAGAGACAGACTTTTAATTACTGTGGGCAGTCTAAATCAGATTGACATAAAACTCTTCAACCGGTCAGTTATTAACCCTGCTTCCAAATGTTACTATGTGCACATAATAATTATTACGCAAAAGTACATTCTTTTGAGATTTTTACATGGTACCAACCTCCAAGGTACATAATAGTCTTTAGACATTTCATTTCATTAGTCAATTTCATTCTTTTATTTAAAACATTTTAATCCACAAATGTAAAGTGGGGGAAACCACTCCTCCCCTGTCCTTTAAAGAGGCAGACAATTTCTAAGAGCCGATTTTAAGTGTGCTGTCCTTTGGAAAGCATGCAGAGACATTGATTCCATGTCCACTGAGTCCTGTTTAATTATACCTCTTGCTGCAGTAAAATGGCTCAGGTCAAAATGACTTTAGAGAGATCAAGGGAGCTGATAATAATCAGTAATATTGAAGGTACTTCTAAGTGATCCTCTGCTGGAGAACCTGTGGCTGACTTGCCAAGGAAATGTATAATATGCTCTACACATACCTGCTTCTTTTGTTTTCTTTATCATCAAGTACAGACTAAAATATTCTTCATATGCCCTTACCCCCTCTACCTTTTCCAACTATTTCTGCTTTGTGCCATCTTAATATTTGGTGAGGAAAATTCTAGCACAGGTAAAGCAGGACAGGGCACTGGGATAGTATTTAACATCCCTCTCAAGAAATTTCCACTTCAGTTATGTACTATACTAGGAAAAAAAACAACAAACAAAAAAACCGCAGTACATGACAGTTCACTCACAATAGTCAAAATCTATGCCAGGCCAACATAGGCTACTTACTGATTAAAGGAATGTAAGTGTTGATACCCCCTCTTCCTGACAGGGGCACTGCTGCATCATTGCCTAGGGACACATCTGCTTGAAAGCTGGATGCTGATTGGATTTTTTAAAAAATTAAAAAATGCAAAAAGATTAAAAAGGAATAGCAAATTGAAAAACAACAGATGCTATTACAATTAAATAGCACAAGTGGAAACATTTACTTAAATACTACCTGCATATAACTCTGGACCATATACAGCTCCAACTACTGGGCTTAATTTCCAACCTGAAACACACAAAAAGGAGGGTGAGCATTTAAGACTACTTGAGGAAAGGGATGATCAATGCATGTCAAGTTGGCTTCGGCCATCTCTGGGGCTATTTTTGCCTATTACCAGCTTCTCTTTGGAATTGCAGCTTGGGGTTTACATGAGAGAGTAACAATAGTAGAACTAGCACACAGTGAAGAGATAATGAAGGGCTGGGGTTGGGGGGCTTGGCAGGGGTCATGATGTTAGGAGGAGGAAGATGGAGAGGGAATGAGAGGAGAAAAAATAAATAGAAATAAATCCTCGAGTTTGGTATAGTGTTCTCACAGAATTACCCTGGATGACCTATCCTTCATTTAAAAAAAGAAAGAAGGCCGACTATATATCAATCTGTACCACACTGTGATGCACTTTCTTAACCCTGTTTATTACTCTAGCTGTTTTAATAAAAGTATCCATGGGCTGAACTCAAATTTAACCTAGATCTTTGACTCCATGCTTGAGTCAATGCTGGTATTCCAGGTAAACTGAAATCCACTTTCACTGGGATTTACCATTGGGATTTTATTAGGGTTCACCAACTAAAAAATGAAAGACATGAAATCATAAAATTCAAAGTACATTCCCAACTTCAGTGCATGTTTTCTGAGGCTTTAATGTGTAACAATCACCTTTAAGTTAATCAGACTTTTTAGTTAAAGAACACCAGAATACTGTGGAATGTTACCTTAAATATTTATAAATATTAAGAGTTTCCAAATAACATTATGTTTAATGTTAACTTTATTTCTTCTTTCCTTTTTTTATATTTATAAGAATATGGCAAGTATATTTTAAAAAGGAATAATGTATTATTGCTCACTGAGAGTGAATAAAAGTAGAATTCCACATGAAAACTTTATTTTATTAATTGAATTTTACATATAATAAGCAAAAATACTCTACATTATTTTTCTGACTCATTTGTCTTCTTTTATATTAAGACCCTAGCATTGTGCCACATTATTCTATAAATACACGAATGAAAAGAAAAGGGCCAGAATTGGCTTTTTTTTTTTTTTTTTTTTTTTAAAAAATCTTTTTTTTTTTTTGCCCCGGGAGGATAGTGGCTCAATTTCGGCTCACCACAACCTCCGCCTCCTGGGTTCAAGTGATTCTCATGCCTCAGCCACTCAAGCAGCTGGGACTACAGGCATGCACCACCATGCCTGGCTAGTTTTATACTTTCAGTAGAGATGGGGTTTCACCATGTTGGCCAGGCTGGTCTTGAACTCCTGACCTTAGGTGATCCACCCGCCTCGGCCTCCCAAAGTGCTGGGGATTGCAGGTGTGAGCCACTGCACCCAGCCACAACTGGCCTTTTCAAAAGAATTACTGAAATTACCAGATTTAAATGACCGTAAGCAAAACATTATTCAAGTGAAAATTCATTCACTCCGATTCAATCCAACCTCTTATTCATCATTTTATGTGCTCATAAAATGCAATGTCTCTTCAATATTCCACATAAAATTTTGGCAAAATTTGGGTGCAAATACTACTTGAATTGTAAGAGCACAAATATTCTGCAATATCAAATTACACAAATACTGTGCAACATTTCTGCACAAATTGAGATTCCAACCAACCTAAATGAGAATGCTGACTAAGAATTCATTAGGATGAACCCAACACATTCTCCTTAGGACCTTTAACACAATAGCAGAAGGTTTCTTGCCTACTAAACCTGAATATTAATTTAAAATAATATTTGCCTACTAAACCTGAATATTAATTTAGAATATTTGCCTACTAAACCTGAATATTAATTTAGAATAATATTTGCCTCCTAACCTGAATATTAATTTAGAATAATATTTCAAAAAAGAACTTTTTTTGGCAGGGCGCGGTGGCTCACGCCTGTAATCCCAGCACTTTGGGAGGCTGAGGCGGGAGGATCACGAGGTCAGGAGATCAAGACCATCCTGCCTAACACGGTGAAACCCCATCTCTACTAAAAACACAAAAAATCACCCGGGTGTGGTGGCGGGTGCCTGTAGTCCCAGCTACTCGGGAGGCTGAGGCACGAGAATGGCGTGAACCTGGGAGGCGGAGTTTGCAGTGAGCCGAGATGGCGCCACTGCACCCGAGTCTGGGCGACAGAGCCAGACTCTGTCTCCAAAAAAAAAAAAAAATTTCTTTCCTACCAATGGCATTATTTCCTGGGCATTCCCTTTAAATCCACATAATGGGCGGGCACCGTGGCTCAAGCCTGTAATCCCAGCACTTCGGAAGACTGAGGTGGACGGATCACCTGAGTCTAGAAGTTCGAGACCAGCCTGGCCAACGTGACAAAACCTCGTCTCTACTAAAAATACAAAAATTAGCCAGGTGTGGTGGCACACACTTGTAATCCCAGCTACTCTGGAGGCTGAGGCACGAGAATCGCTTGGACCCAGGAAGTGGAGGTTGCAGTGAGCTGAGATTGCACCACTGTACTCCAGCCTAGGTGAGAGAGAGACTCTCTCCCAAAACAAAAACAAAAATTAATATAATGGATGTATATTGATATGCTGTTAGCAATACTTTGAATATATTTAGTTTTAGACAATTATAATGTATTTTCACAAATGTCCTTTGACCTGCACAAAACCCAAGGAGGAAGGTAAAACAGATACCACATCTGCAATCTGAGGTCAGTATTATACTTTTCTGGGTCTCATTTCCTAATAATAAGCTGGGAGGGTTGAGTTTCAATAATTTCTAAAAAAAATCCTGGTGCCAAAAATCTGTGATCTTAATTTATAAATACGAAAACAGAATCAGGTTAAAAAACTGGTCCACTGTCACGGAGTAAATAAAGTGTCAAACCTAGAAGCAGAATGTCTGTTTTCTGAATTCCAGTCAGAGGCTCTTTCTGTCACAGTATTTCTCCCAGAAGTAAAGAAAATTTGACATTCTTTGCCTCTCCTTTCTATTTTGTTTACTTTGAGTTTTTATCAAAATTGTAGAGACTTGTTTTTGTAAGAACAGTGAAAAGAAAATAAGAGTTAAAGTGGGAGGCAGTGGTATCATACCGATAAAAGGAGTAGGAAAAATGCAAATTATGCTGATAAATTTGTATCATCTATGTGAAAAGCTGGGCTAAATATATTTATTGAAGACTTTATGGGATATAGTCAATACCAATACGTTTCTTCTTAAGACATTATTGGCACATACAGCCACACTCTAACAGTAGGTTCAAACTTTTCACAAAAGCAGCAGACACTCCCCCCTTTATTCTAGATATTAGTAAAATCTTATGCAGAACCATAAATTGCTCAGATTACAGTACAGCTGAGACCTTAGGATTCAATCAATTTGGTTTCCTTTTTCTCCCCCAAACTGGCTCTGCACAACACAGTCTGCAAAACCACCACTGGGTTACAGATTAAATTTATATTCCATCTTATTCAGAGACCATGAGTCTAGATTAAATTTGGTAACTGATGTAACAAATTATTCATAGAAAATTTCCTTCTCAATGAGAAACACTTATAAACCTTACTATATAATATGTAATCATGAAATAGAAAATGGCACACACACAACCATACCCATGGCTGTTACCTCTAGGCCTAAGGAGAGCAATGGGTCCAAAATCATAACTTATTCCACCTATGCTCAGATGAATGAGAGTCAGAAGTAGAAGTGAGAGTCAGTGGGCATCCAGGGGTATTACGGACAAGTCTAACATATTACAAAGAGCTACAGCACCTGAAAAAGAAGGTGCTCAGGTGGGATCCAATTTGGGTTAGTAGGCAACTAGATAGCATGTTTGCACTGTGTAAAAGATGAACTTTACTTAGAACATAACACCTTAATACCTAAAAAACATAGCTCAATTGTAATGACAAGGTTATGTTGTAAACATAAAATACTCTCCCAGGTAAAGAGACTCTTCAATGCAAATTAAACTGTCTTAAGACTGAAATAAAGATTCTTAGAAGTTTATAAAAACTTAATATATTTACATAAGAATAAACACTCTTTCGAAGATGATTTATAATTTCTTACCATTTGCATATGGTGTGACCATCTTCTTATTGGTCATTACACGTGCTGTAGCATTATTCACCTAAAAATAACAAGGAGAAAAAAGGGCAGGGAAGAAGTGGACCACATTAGGGAACATAAAGTTGCACATCCAGTAACATAGTACTTAGTTTAAAATGTAAATTTCTGAGAGCATTGATTTAAATAATGAACACAGCAATATAAAATATTAATATATAGTGTTTTAATTAAAGTTCTTATTAAATGAGGATAACCAGAGTAAAATGAGTTTCTTGGTTTCCAAATATCAGTACTCCAAAGACAATACATTTGCAAAATCTTTGGACATCTTTTAAACAGAGAAATCTCTGCACTAAGGAAAACACAGAAAAAAGTAAATAGGAAACAACTATATTAGCAATTCACTTTGAAGTTTGTTAATAAAACAGAGGCTTGCCACATGGGTTATGAAACAGATTGATGGAAAGGTGATAAAATAAATCTGATTTCACCTGTCCTAATGTTCAGCATTTTAAAATACATCTGTCCGAGATTTTTACTGTCTGACGTCAGTAAACAAATATAGAAACCTAAGATTCCCATGTTGACAGCCTTCAGGACCATTCTGAATTTTCTAGACCACATGGTCTATCAACTCAGGAACAAAACTTTTAAAAAAGCCTTTAAAGTAGGCACTTAAAAGAACTGAGGAAATCAAGTGTTTGTTTATTTTGTTTTATGGCACTCTCCACCCTCATTACAGAACTGCGTATTTTAAAGCATTCTCAGTACGAGAGTAAGCAGGCGCTACAAAGACGGTGCTGCTGAAGGAAAGATGAATGGAACTGAGATGCCAGCATACTGCAGCCCAGTGACAGAACCAGCCTCAAAGCTCTTGCAAGGAGGGTGAAGTCCCACCATAGAACTTGACTTACACTGTGTTGTCAGGTCATAAAACATGCCAATTGAAAAAACAAGCATAAAATAGAAATGTCTTATTTTTGCCTCTTCAAATTTACATTGTGTTCAATTTGTATGGTAATAAATTTGTGTGATGAAAAGACCAATTTTAGGTAGAATTAGAACTAAAAAAACTTCTTCCTATGTCTTTTGAGATTTGTACAGTGATACTTCCCCTACATGAGGAAAGAGCTTGAAACTCCATTTACTCTAGTTTCATCCACCAAATAATATAAACATTTCACATTTAAAAAGAAAGAATGGGATACAACAATGATGAGACTGAGAGCATGCAGTTAAAAAACACACACACACAAATAAAAGAAAGAAAAAACAATAAATTTTGGAAAGAGGGGAGAAAGTGAAAAGCAAGGTTCTCACAGACAAGGATTAGAATGGAACAAGAGCTGAAACCAGCTGCTGGAGCAGAAAGCAACCAAGCACTTAAAAGGAAAAATGGCCAGAACCAATCAGAAACCACTAGTCAGCAAAAGAGACCAACAGCTGCGTGTAACTGAAGGGATGGGAAAGGAAGAATAGGGAAAAGGACAGGAGCAAGGATTTGGAAAAAGAGAATAAGGTAGGGAAAAAGAAAAGAGAAAGTCAGGAAGGGTGTAACGGGCAAAGAAAGAACAATCAGAGCTACAAACGGGGATTTGGGAAACAGGAAAAGTAGGGAAGGATGTAGGGGCAGGAAGTGCATTAATAAAACCAGCCAAACTGGAGTTCAGTAACTCTGAGTAAGATGTGCAAGGGGAAAAAAATCACCATGAAGTCAGTAATCAAACAGCTCAGACTGCTACAAAACAATATGTACATCCAAAATCCAGGCGGCATTACTCAACAGCATTGAAAATAAAAGGGGGAAAGGAAAAGGAAGAGGAACAACAAGTCAAATCACATTTTGTAGTGTTAATGTGAGATGGCAGATGGACTTTTTCTTTCTTATTTAATTGTTTTGTAATTACATTTTTAAAAGCTTCTTCTCTAGTGCTTTTTTCACTTACCGCCAACGGGCACCATCGCCAGCATTGTGTATAGTTACCATGGAAAGAGTGAGTCAAGTGAAGGGCCCTAAATGCTAAACCATTGGAAAGGAGGGGAAAAAAAGCAAAATATGCAGACATCTTACTCAAAATGGTGGCTTTTACATTTAATACTTTAAAAAATTGGGAAAGGGGAAAGGAGCCAGTTAACCTTCGATGTGTTATCAAAAAGGGCTGGTGAATACCAGGTGGCAGACTTAGTCATCATCACAGTACATTCGCCAGCCAGCCATCAAACCCTCTGTTTAAGACTTTTATTCATAAAAATTTAGATATCAAAATTCTTGATATTAGATATATTCAAAAACTACATGAGTTTTGGATTATTTCCTCCCTCCCCACAATCTCCAGAATCTTCTATTCCGTGCTTATCATGTGCACAAAGAGGCGAACTGGCCTCCCAAGAGAGAGGATATTGGCTGGCCCCTTGATTCATTATAGAACACAGTGTTATAAACTGGATAGTTTTTAGACAATTTAACATTAGTTTTGCTTAGGCCTGATCACAGGAATTCAGAGTACTGCAAACTGAAGCAAAGGAAAAAAATCAAGAGAGCAGAAGGATGAACATTTTGAAGGAAAAACATAAATGAAACACACACACACACACACGCACACACAAAAAGTCAAAATTAAAACCCCCAAACAACCAATAAATGAGGAGGGAGGCAGATAGAAGTGTTACTTTTATACATTTTAGTGCAAGAAGGTGAAGACAGAGATACAAACACACATACATGTGCACACGCACACACAAGACAGGGTTCCAAATGTGAAATAAGTGAGGCAATACGAAAAAACAGAAATAAAAATATAAAACCAGAAATTGAATTATTAAAGACATGCACCTCGATTTTACGGCCCTCTACCACGGTGCCGTGTAATTTCTCCCTGGCCCTGTCTGCATCAGCACTATTCTCGAAAGTTACGAACCCGAATCCCTGCATGCAGCGGGAGAAGGGGGGAAAACATGCACATCGTTATATTGAAATACTGATCTCTTGGTAAATAGAGAAAAAATATCATAGTATGAAACTGACATCAGCAACAACTCAGCAATAGTCTCCCAAAGTCACATTTTTGGTCCATGCATATTTGTGAAGGGAAATTAAATCCAATAAAAGAATAAAGAACTGTAATAACAATAATAATAATAATTAACAGCAATGTCACAATAAAATAAAACATAAAGCATATGAGGCCAGACCAAAATTAAGGTACAGAGTTACTTGGGTCAAACTATTCAACCAAGAATCTGAAGATTTTTTAACATTCTACCTTTCTCTCTCAATTCATGTTATTAATATACATGCCCCTTTATGTAATACCAAAAAAGACTTAATTAAATTGACTCTCTGACATCCCAAATCCATTATTTCCCAGTAACTGCTACATGAAATCTGACATTCAGGTTCAACGTTGCACAATGAGATTTTTTTAAAGTAGGTCTAATCATTTTAGCCCCACTTTGCCGGCTGCTTATATCACTACTATTCCTTTGGGAACAGGATAATTTAGGACATAGTCGGTGTATAATTTTGTATGTACTGGGTGTGGAAGAGGAAAGCATTCATGCCCTTCTAAGCAAATAAAAATATCGCTAAGCAGTGGTCAATTATAACTTTTCTTCAATGCCCATTTTAAATGACCAGATTGACACTTAGAGTAAAAATATGTTCAACTGAATTTCAGAAAACTGCTAACCCAAATTCGCCTAAATTACTCACTTATTGATTTTTATATCTGCTATTAAAGGTAGTAGTAACTTTCTATATAGAGAGAAAAAAGGAACAGTCAACAGGCAATGGAAATGAGATCTACATTAGTGACATCAGTTGTTCACTATTCAGTAGAAAAAGGATATTGGAAAACAGCAGTGCAGCTGGTACAATGAGTTAGGATTAATTTATTTGTTCCTTGCAAGATACTACAAAAATGGAGTGGAGCTTTAACTCATCAAGTAGACAAATCAGGACACCACTACCTTCACTCCGATGTTCACGTACTACCAATTTTAACACTAGGAGCATTTACTATATACTTATATGACTTTCCTAAAACATCATATTCACTTCATTCTAGTTGCTCTGTTCTTATTGTTCTACTCTGCAGCTGTAATTTTACAAACAATTTCCACGCTGCTTATATCTGCAAAGTGGTAAAGTCTTAGGATTTTCTGCAAAGTCTTCATTTGCCAATAACTTCATTGTCCTGCTAGCATTTTTTGAATATTCCATTATAGGATAACCCAGAACCCTTTAATTTTAATTGAAGTTCTGCCTAGCTGCTTAATAACATGAGCATACTTCTCTCTATATAAAACATGTTCTTAACTGACATGGTAAACAATGCACGTTGCTCAATAAGATTTTATAAAAGCAACTGCATTGTTTTGAAGGATCCGGTAACTCAGCATTCTAAGTGATTATGTGGGTGGGTGGCGTTTTGGAGAATTCCAATGGATGATCTCTACCCACAATTTGGACATCACAAATACCCTTGAAAGTGCAACGCTAAGCTGATGGAGATTTTAAAACGTACGTTGTTTGGAAAGAACTACTACTGGTAACTTCAGTTAATATTCTCCTAAAGAATGTATAAGTTTGTTGAAAATATCAACAGGAACATATTTTCATAAATGAAATGTTGTTATCAACATTTATAGCCACTTTGACACCACAAGGTATAAAAGGGCGTACATTAATAATTAGTTACACCATTTGTCATCTACACTAGCACCTGCTGAAGACAAGCTGCCAGTTCTCTAATCCTGGTGAGTCCTCCAATAGGAAAGTCAAACTTTTAAAGAAAGGTCACAGAGAGTGATGAATTTTAATATCACACTTTAGAAGCATTTTGGCTGTATTTCAACTGGTCCTCACAGTCATATATTTTATGACTTAGATTAAATTAATACATTGTAAATTAATAGTTGGATTACTACTAAGTTATATGAAAACTAAGACCTAGGTTTTTGATATTAGCATTATGACTATATCTACACACCCACATACAAATATACATACTAGTTTGTCTTCTTAAATATAACCATGAAGTAAAAAGAATAGACATGTTGGTTTCATGTTGAAGGTAAAGAAACTGAGTCAAACTGAGATTAAATACACAAGGATATACAGCTAATGGTGAGAAAATTCTAAGCCTTTTCAAATCTCAGTTCAGTATTCTATTTACTAAATGATATTAGTCCTAAAAGCCTTCTATTTTTTTTTTCAAATCTAATTGCTAAATATCTTCCATAACCTTCTTTTCTGAAATGTGTTCAAAGAACATTAGTGATAACTGCATCCAAAAGAATGGAAGGTGGTATGATGAGCACCGAAATTTTACAGTCAGCAAATGACAAAGTTTAACATTAATGTCTGCTTGGATAAGATTTTCTCAATAATGACTTTAACATTCTGGAACAAAATTTCACTTTCAAATGTTTTAAAAGTGTTTTATAAAGAAAGATGCTTACAAGATACCAAAAATATAAAAATAAAGCAATCTTTATAAGCATCTTTTCCCTGGGGTGATAGGAGGAAGAAGGCCTTGTTGATGCGCTGGGACTCCTTAGTATGAAACATAAAGGTAAGAGGATTTCTTTATTTGCTTTGAAGATAAACAGACCTTGCAATAGGGCAAATAATGGCTTCCTAAAGTTGTCCACATCCTAATCCCCAGAGCCAGTGAATATGTTACCTTACACGGCAAAAGGGATTTTGTAGATGCGATTAAGTTAATGATCTTGAGATAGAGAGATTATCCTGGATTATCTGGTTGGGCCCAATGTAATACAGTGGCCCAATGTGGCCACTGTACTGTGCTTGTAAGTGAAAAGCGGACACAGGAGAGTCCGAATCAGAGTAAAGCAGCCTGAGAAAGACTTGACTGGCCATTGCTGGCTCTGAAGACAGAAGAGAGCTATAGTCCAAGAAATGTGGGCAGCCTCTAGAAGTTAGAAAAGGTGAGAAAACAGATGATCCCGTAGAGCCTCCTCAAGAACCCAACACATTGATTTTAGCCTTGTCAGACCCATTTTGGACTTCTGACCTCCAGGGCTGTAAGATAATAAATGTGTGGTTTTAAGCCACCCAATTTGTGGTAATCTGTTCAGAAGTCATAGGGAATTAATACACACCTCTTAGAATTAAAGTCCATGATTAGGAAGGTGAGAGGTATGACTAGAATTTTTTGAAGTACTGTTCTTAAATACTTTTCTCTCATGTTTAAACTTTGAACAGGTGATTTTCCATCAACCCAAACATGCTTCCTTATCTATCACACTCACAATTTAGTTTCAATAACATGAACTCAGATCTTAAAACATTTTTAGAATACACCATTTCTTCAATAAAATTCAGCATTTTAGAAAAGGTGCCAGAAACTGTGCTAAAGATGTTCACAGATTATCCAGGTTTAAAAGTCATCAGTAGAAAAGCCTGCTTACATGAACTCATGTTTTGTCACTTTGCTCTTAGAAACCAAATTAAGTTGGTCATTCTGATCTCTTGCTTTGGGAAAAAAACGTTAGTAAAATTGTGTCTAAATCTAAAATATTTTCCTTAGAACAACTTCCAAATGATCATACAACCTATCAAACACTGAACCAGTCTACACAGGTATAATATATATAACAAATAGATTACATAATCTATAACAAATAGATTTAATCTCAAATTCTGAACAAGAGGAAATATTTCAGCTATGTAAACAGATGGGGAATTTTTGTTACCTAAACTCCTATTAATAAAACCAGATTTTAAAAAAGTAAACTTTCTTTTTTAATTAAAAAATGATTTTGACATGTCTGTCTACACTAGCACTACAGAGAGAAATATAATACAAACCACATATATAATTTAAAATTTTCTAATAATCACATTTAAAAAGTAGAAACAGGTGAGATTAATTTTAACAATGTATTTTATTTAACCCAATATATACACATATTATTAACACTTCAATATGATATCAATATTAAAACATTATTAGTGAGATGCTTAGCATTCTTTTTTTGTGCTAATTCTGAAATGGTGTCCATTTTACCCTTATAGGCACACCTCAGTTTAAACTCTCCAAATTTCAAGTGTTAAATGTGACCACTGTGCTGGGCAATGCAGGTCTCTACACTTTATACTCCTCTAAGTTCGCAGTCCTCAAAGTCCTTCTAAATTAAACATTTAAACACACCAGTGTTACATGAGTGATTTACCAGGTATCTTAGCTGACTTCTGGAAATTGAAGAATGGTGTATTTATTAGGTGTATGGTTGTAGTTAAAACTTCTACAAAGTGTGACAGCAATTTCACAGCCTGCCTTGACATCATCGAGGACATATAGGAGCCAAGTAACTGTCACCTTTTTAGTCTGGCCTCAGACTGCAATAAATAACAAGCAATAGAATGAACATTGTAAAAATATTATTAAAATCTGTATAATTTTTGAATTTTTCGATCTCAGAAGAATGAGAAAGAAAATTTACCATGTAACTTTTAAGGGAGAAATCAAAAGCAGACGGATCTCCTGGGTATGGCCAGAACACAGAAATTAAAAAAAAAATAAAAAAAATATAAAACTAAAGCCCATAATGGTAACAAAAGAAAAACAAAAACAAAAACAAAAAATTAAGCCCTTCAGAAACACATGCACTGTTAATTCAGTTTCAAATATAATAAAAAAAAGCCATTTCACTCCAACATTACCATATCAAGTTCTACTGAAAGTCACAAAGGCCTACTTACTGTGACTTCCAAAAAAGTATTTTGATAATACTTTGAAAGAAATAATTAATTTCCCTTTGCATGAAATTAAAAGCCATGATAATAGGAAAAACATTATAGCAAATTACTTGTGTCTAAGGAATGGGAATAGGCGTTTTATCTCCCCTAACTACAGCCTAAACTTAAGCCCAACCTAAACCTAGATTCCCATTATTCCA